GTCGATTCGATCAAAATTCAATAAACATTATACCTGATCCGATCTGATAATCCGACGAATTATTAGTTAATCAATCAATATCCTATTGTTTTGTTTATTGGATGTCCAATCCCTTTTTTTGTTTTTGTTTTTATACACTCCTACATAAATTAAAGAAATTAAAGAGCAATAAAAATAATTAAACAATTACCATCGCAAGGAAAACTTGGGAAAATAAAAAGAAAAATCAATTCTGAAGATGTTTTTCTTAAGGGATGGAAAAAACTAAAAAGAAGTTTAAGCCAAAGAAAAAAAAAAAAAAGTATAATATATTTTATGTACCCTTTGTTCAGTAACTAAAAAAACTTAGGGCTTGAATAATAATTCCGTAATGGTAATTTTAGGAATTGTAAGTAGGAAGAAAAAGAGGGGAAAAGAGAGAAAATCCTGCACAAAGAAGAAGATGGAAAAAGTGAGTTAAATAAGTTTTTTGTACTCTTTGTTTAGTAACTAAAAAAATCTAAGGCTTGTAAGAACTCATTAATGTCAATTTTATGGCATGTAAGGAGAAAAAAGATGATGGAAAAAGTGAAAAAATAAAAATAAAAAATAGGGCTTGTAAGAATAACATAAATTAGGACTTGAAATTTGTAATAGAGAAAAACAAAAGGAAGAATAGAAGAAAAATAAGAATGTAACGACCCAAATCAGGGGTCCGGATCGCTAACCAGGTCCTTACCCGAACCCAACGACATATTAGGGGTAAAATGGTCTTTTTACAATATGAAAGGATAATCCATCCTTAAACTAGTCAAATGAGGTTTAAAACAACCATTCTAGTCATTCCATGATGCTCGATGAGGTTCTACGGTTATCAGACATAAATTCCCAAAAGCGCCCTTACCGGTTTAAGGCAAATTCTGACACTGTTCCACTAAAATAACCATAACTCCCAACATGAATGTAATTTGAGGATGAGGTTGGTCTCATTGAAAAGCTAACTCAAAATCCTTAAAAATAGACTCAAGAATGATCCTATTTGGGTTTGGAACGAATAAGTTATGACCGTCCAAAATCAGGTGATCAAAGCTGGCAAACTGACAAGGCAAAAGTGGGTACTGGAGGTCTTGAACCGGTTCAAGAATCCTGAACCGATTCAAGATGGGCAATATGCCCATACGTGAACTAAATGCACCCCTTGAACCGGTTCAATGGGGCTGAACCGGTTCAAGATGGCTAGACCCTTAAAATCAGCCCAGAAAAGCTTTAAAATGTACACTTGTGCTTATAGGCACCCCTTTGGTCCCTTGGTGACCTTACCTATAGTCTAAACCTGTCCTAAATCATGCAATTAACAGTGTAAAAACTTACTTAAACTCAATACGAGTCCAATACATTATTTAAAGATCGAATTATACAAATTCCATTTTATACAATTTCCAAAGAATCAAATACAAAGAATGAGGCCTCCATGGCCAAACTTACATAACTTTAATACAATAAAAATGAAATGAATTCCTAACTAAATCAATGCCCACGGATGCATATCATTCACCGGCTCATCTCCGAATTCTTGAAATTTTTTAATAATGATAGGGTGAGCTCAACAGTTCAGTGGAAAAAGCCTAAAGTACATTCCTAAAAATCCCGTAAGCCACAACCAAAGAAAGGGAATCAAAGAAAAAGGATCATGGAATTGTGAGGCATATCAATCGTATATGAATTTCACAAATTCACAAACCATACCATTAAACAAGAAATGCAAATGTCCCCTTCTTCCTTTCCAATCCAACCTCACTAAAACCTTTCTAACCATCACCTTAACTTACCATACAAACCACCACCTCATCTTCTAACCTTCTTTCCCACGTCAACCTTCATCCTCTCAACTCAACCCCATGCCAAGAATATACATGTCATACAACCATTCATCAATACACAAGTCATAATTTATATCATAGTTATCATATCAAACATTCAAACATAAAAATTGATCACATAAATCACACTTTCACATTTTCTCATGGAAAAATAGCATACTTGGCTCAAATACAAGAAAAACCATCATATTCTCAACTTAAATAATCAGATCAAAACTATCTCATGCTTAATATCACAACCAAAAATTTACAACTAAGTATGTTTTCACAATATCAAGAGATTCATGTAAGAAAATATATAGAACTCACTAAAATCATAGGAATTTATACTTTAAACTTCCCCTACCTCAAGATAGCAAACCAAACAAGGCCTTAGCAAGCCCTAGCTCCAAGCCCCAAACTCAAATCTCACCAAAAGCTTGTAATACCGGTACCAAAACGTAGTCCTTGCAACGATCTACAATTTGCTAACTCTGGCTTAAACCAAATATTTTTCTAACATGAAGAAATTTTAAAAAGAAGGGAGAGAGTAATATAGAGAGAGAGAAAATGTATAGAGAGAGTGCATATGGTCCGAAAATGAAGGAAAAAGAAAAGGAATGGGCTAAAATGAAGCAACCCTTTTGGTCTCTAGAATTTTCTAGATTGGTCCATGAAACCAAAATGACAAAATGCCCCTTGAATTTCTTTATAACTTCAACCATGCCATAAAATATTACCCTCCATTTAACACCACTAATACAACATATATACATGTATATATACACACATACACATGTGAAATGCCGATGACGCCCCTCACTTAAGATGAGAAAACTGGGAGAACTTCCTGAGTTTGAAAATCATCTCCACTTCTGAAAAATTCTAAAAATGAAACCGTCACTTCTAATTGACTTAAAATAATTAAAATTACACTTCTAAAACACTCGGCTCAAAAAATGACCAAAACACCCCTCGGGGCCCGCGTGACATGCAAAACGAGGCAAGGATTAAAATAATCCAGAAAAATCAAATAAATTCCCGAAATTAGAAAATAGGGAAAATCGGTAACATTACAAAGAGAATAACAAAACTCACCGAAGGGGATTTACGTTATTGGCTAACGATCCAACAATTCACTCTTTGAAGCTTGACCAAACGGTGAAGAGAGTTTTTAAGTTTTTAAAAGCTTGTATGGGTGGAAAGATGCTAACAAGTAACTAAATAATTAACATATATGGTCGGATCGGGTTGCTATCGGATTGGATCATTCTTAATCCATATCCGATTTATTAAGCTAACGGATTATCGGATTCGGATCATTATCAGGTTATTGGATTTTTTATTCATTCCAGTTAGGTCTTGCTTAGTTTGATACATATTTTCTACGTAGTAAGGATGGAGTAAGTGGAATCTAGGCTCCCACACGATTATGCTTTGCGAATTGGACTACCCAACTCACTTCATTGGTTTGAGATTTGAGGCAAAAATCCAAGGAAAAATCAAATCCCAAATCAAATGTGAAAGGAGCTAATGGACCCATTAGCCCCTCTCATATCATACCTTACACACTCGGTTTCAAACTTTTGTCTCGATCTAACTTACCTCGCATTATATTTTGGATATTCAGTTTGTGCGTCATTATCAATCTACTAAGTTAGGACTTGTTTGACAACTATCTCTGTTTTGTATTTTTTTTTTGGAACAATGTACTGTAGCGAAACAAAAGCACGAAGTGTGTTTAGTAACATTTACTGTAATTTGAATAGTACCGAAGTGCTTCTAAAAAAATGTCAAAATCAGAAGCACTCCAGTTGCTTTTGCAATGTAGCAAAAACACTATTCACCCAACAAAATAAAAAGAAAAAAGAAAAAAAAGAGAGAGGGTAAAGTACAATGAAACCTCTTGAGTTTTACCATATTGACATTCATAAAGAGTTGGCTTTTTTTTTTTTTGACAATGACACTTCCTAAAGTTTGAAAAAGTTGACAAAGATATCCATGTAGCCACCTGCCACATATGACACAAGGGGAATTGTTAACTTTATAACTTAATGAATTGGACAAATCTACTCCTCATTAACATTTGATGCAAAAAATTGAAGTGTTAAGTTAGAGAAAAAATCCTGCACAACAATGAATAAAAAATTCATAGAAATTTTGTTTGAAATCGAAACGAAGCAAACAAAAATGGTTTGGAAAGTAGACTCACGGAAGTATAAAACATAAATTTTGGTGATGTTTCGATATCCAGAAAGCTGTCAAATAAATAAATTAAAAACATGATTTCAAAAAAGTGGAAAATACCATACAAAAGCTATTGTCGAATTTTTATAAAAATATCTATTGGGCCAAAAATTACAAAAATTTTCACCGAGTAACTAGACATGCAAAGGAACCTTTGGTAAAAATTTCATTGCAATTGGAATATTACAATACCTTGGAGAAATTAATGAATTTCAACACAATAAATTGACGCCATTTTGTTGATCATATTAACTCAAGGGTTCGACATTTCAACATATATCATATTTTACAATAAAAATGGATTTAATACTAAGGGGTAATTTCACCTTTTTGAACTATCTAAGGTCTTATTTGGATGATAATTTTGATAGGGGGTGTCATTGTCACAAAAATAGACAACATGCATATGATTATCCATATAACAAACATTAGGGGTGTCATTATACTCTACCAAAAAAAAAAAAAAAAAAAAAAATTCTAAAATGACCTTTTTAACAAGTTATTTAATTTTTCAAACTTTAACATTTTTTACCAAACATGCTTTTGCTCCCAAAAATCTTGCAACAAATATACTTTACCAAACAAGTATCGAAATAGTATTGAACACACTCCAAAGTGAAAACATTGTTGTGGTTGCAAAAAATGCCCTTAATTAATCAATATCATTTTTGATGTCGTTTTGATTCTTTGCTGGTCTTATACGTAACACAACAATTTTACATCGTGACCCAACGACTTTACATCATTAATGTAATAATTTTAAATTGACAATAAGACAACTATATAATCAATATAAATTTGTTACATCATTGTTGCATAAGTGTTTTATTTTGTGATGTTAATTTTTTTTTAATGATTACATCATTGTTGCATAACTTAATACCGTATGATTTTCATGTGAAAAGAACAGAAAAATAGAAATATACAGAGTAGATAGTATGTCTTGTCTGGGAGTTAAAGCGATAAACCCCTAAAACCTCCATGGACAAGCCCAAAGACAACTGCTGCTGAAGCAGCAGCCGAGTCGCAATCGTTTCTTCCATTTTTTCTCTTTCAGCACTTTCTTCTTTGAAATTTCTCCGCATTCTCAAAGAATGGCCCTAACAATTCAATACACGCCAAACCCATTTCACTCATCTTCAGGAACACTGTTAGTCAACCAAACACATCCAATTCTTGTTCAATTCAAACCACTCTCAAAACCACCTTCATATCACACACCAAAGCGTACCCTCCGGAAGCGACCCACCATTCGAGCCTTCGCCTCCGCGAACCCGAATGGTCCAGAAGGTTTCTCCTGGCAGAGCCTGTCCCGGTCGATTCGCAGTGGTTCGGAACGATTCTTATCAAGATTCGGTGAGTTGGTGAAGAGAGAAACTGGCTTCGATTTGGAAGATGCTAATGTTAGGGTGTCTGGGTTTGTGGGTCGGGCTCGGGACTTCGCGAAGAAAGGCGAGTCTGAGTTGAACAGGTTCAGGTCTGAGTTGCTTCCCGAGTTCATCAATTGGAATAAATGGGACCGTTGGAAGGTAATTCATTTTATTTTATTTTATTTTATAAATTAATACGTGAATTCAATACGTTTATTATAGCCCTAACTGTTGTACTAGTTTGAGGATTGTTTGGATTTCCACTTAGAATGAAATTGCCTCATTTTGCTTTGTGTGTAGAATTTATGTCATAGTAGGAAACTCAAATTAGACTTGTGATTAATCAAATCGTAATGCCCTCATAAACAAACTGTTGATAAAATGCTATGTAAAGCATCATAGGATGTATTCATTTTTACGACAATGTAGTTTATTGAACAAACTGTAGATAAAAATGCTATGCAAAGCAGTATAGGATGTATTCATTTTTATGACAATGTAGTTTATTGTTCTCAGGACATCAAGAGTTGGGAACCCAAAAGAGTTGGTGCCTTGATACTTTATTTTTTTGTTGTAATATTTTCTTGTCAAAGAGTATATATGGCATTTCGAGCTCCTTTCATAGATCGTCAAAGAAAGGAATTGGCTGAGGCATATATGGAGGCATTGATTCCTGAGCCAACTCCCACTAACATCAGGAAGTGAGTGCATTTCTTATTTCATTTGTTATCGAATCTGTTTTTATATATATAGACACATATATCAATGAATACACACGAGCACATAAGGAATAGTTATCAGGTTTTTTATTGATTTAATATATTTTTATAGAATAATTTTTAGTGCAATATTGTGTTTAAATGGAATAATGGATAGAAAGTTGTGTGCAAGTAATGGTAAACAATGGCATGTAGATATACTTACATTTAGTAATGGTAAACAATGGCATGCAGATACTGACATCCTCATATGATTGCTTAATAATGTTTTAGAAATTCAAGAACTGGTGCCTACTAATTATCACTATTCACCATTTAGTGGGTAGAGAATTGGAAGAAACCCGTCATCATTAGTGTTAAATTGTTGCTCCTTCGTGGTTGATAACCTCATATGTAATCATTATGAGATGATACTGCATTCTATGTTCAGATATGTGATTATCTGTCTAAATCAACCTGGATTAACATTCTATTGGTCCAGAACTTTGGGATTCTATTTAATATTTTCCCTCTTACTGTAGGTTTAAAAAAGGTATGTGGAGGAAGACAACCCCCAAAGGCCTAAAACTGAAGAAGTTTATCAAAGGACCCGATGGAACACTTATTCATGATAGTTCATATGTTGGGGAAGATGCATGGGTTGAGGATCCTGAGCCTCCTCAGGACAATGTAAAAGAAATTATAGAGAGTGATGTAAGATTTAATGCAGAAGAGAAGAAGATTCTGGAAGAAGATTTGGGAGTTTCAGGTTAGTGTCCAGAAATGTGTTTGTTGCGCCTTGCTTTACATACTTGGGTTTTTAGTTTCACAGAGTCAGAAAAACTGTCAGCTGTTTGCATATTCCATTAGCAAAAGTTGTATTGTGGTTGGGACTAGTCATTGGAGATGAAATCACGAGTTGAAGAGTAGATTGTGAGAGTAGTGGATTTTTTGATTGAGAGTAACGGAGATTGTGGTGGATCGCTTGGCGTGAATCTGGGTCAGAGGTAATTAGGGGATTCTTGGGTTAGAATCTAGTTAACCTAATTGTAAACCTTTCTTTAGTTTCTGGATTTGACTTGTTTGGAGCAGGTTTTGTGATTTTTCTTCCTTGGTGTTTTTCACATAAATACTCTTGTATTTGATTTACTTTGCTTTAATTCTTTATGCTTTGGATTATTTGATTATATGACGATTTGCATAATCGTGTTTAATTAATTGGTTTAAAATTGAATTTTAAGTAAAAATTATTAAGGTGTGCGGAAAACTTGTTCCATTCGCTTGTAGGTCTAATTGAAGCAAACAGAAAAAAAGAATAGAAATATTCTTACAGCAGTAACAGAGAATAGGGTTATTCCAATTACCGTTGGAGCGTAGATTACTGAAGGAAAATTTAGAAAAAGCCTTACAGAAGTTTAAAATCTGATAACATCTCAAAAGTATATTGATAAAGTCTTGGTTTCAGCACATAATGAGGGCTGACCTTTTATAATATAACTATTAATGAAACTTCACTTTTTAGACTGACTTTTACGCTACCCACACAGATTAATAACAACTTTTACCATTCCCATGACATCTTCAGATTCCATACCATAATTAATACTTAATAAACTTTGACTAGACACTTTTCACTACACTATTAATTACTTGCATCAAACCCTTCTCCTTGAAGAAAACTCGCCCTCAAGTTTGAAGCAATTTACCATAATCTATTAAAAACCCGAATAAGGGCATCTGTCCTTTCTTTCTTCTTTTCCTTACTCAAAGAAAACAAAATAATCTTCTTTCACCAACAAAGAACACATTTTCACGAACTTCCCGAGCGCTTTCTTTAAATTTAGAAGATTTCTGACACTTGCTTGAACACATATCATGAATCAAAACCTGAATTAATCTGATTTTTGAATCAGAACAACTCCTAGTTATATGTTGCAGCAAGTGTCCATCCCAAATAGGGTCATGAATATGAAATTCATGATTTTCCAGCTCCATGAACAAAGAAGCTTACTTTCTAACCAAATTATTAAGCAATTCAATGGTGTTATCTTCAACATTTCTATCTGTTTGTCTGTCAACAAGCGTAAGTTCTGAAATTTCTATAACTTTGGAATCAACTTGAGATATTTGCTTCAATTTCTTTAACAGTTCCCACTTTCTCACATCAAATCCATGATATGCATACTGAATAATGACAGCTGCCTCAGCTTCTGAGAAGTTCTTGGCTGCTTCTTCAGACTTCTCCTCTTCCGTCTTCTTTTTCCCTTCATATTCCTCTTCATTGTTGTCAAATTTTGGAAGTGATGAAGTTGAATGTACCCCTAAGATTTCATCTTCTTCATCTACACTTCCAAAAGATTCATCAAAAGACGAGTAGGTGTCAACATAATTCCTAAGATCTTCCTCAATCAAGTGTTGTTTTTGGTCGATGATGTGACTGTTTACAACTCTTGGGCACTTGGCAGACTTGTATACTGAATCTCTGTATGTTTAGGACCAAAATTCAGGTTCTATAGTACTTTTTTCCTTTGCTGTCCACGTGGTTTCTATCAAGTTTAACTGATGTGGCATCGCTTTGTTTTGCACTTCTGAATTGCTTATGCCACTTTGTTTTGCACTTCTGAATTGCTTATACTGCTGATTTCTTGCTCTAGCAGGCTGTTCATTCCAATTTTCATTTTTGAACCGTTTATGCTTCTTAATTCTTTCTCTAGTAGGCTATTCTGTCCAATAATCACATTGATATGCATCCATTTGCTGATCCCTTTGTCTCCTACTGTCCAGATTCATTTGGAGAAATGATTCCATACTGTTCTAATATGTTGCTCAGTTGAGAAATTTGATGTTGACCAACGGGCCAGTGGCCTAGCGGTATCAGGCCCTTACCTCTCAAAGGGAGGTTAGGGGTTCCAGCCTCCATGGAGGCATGTGTGTGAGTACCAACTAAGAAGAAGAAAAAAAAAAAAAAAATTGATGTTGCAAATTATCAAAGTATTCTTTTGTGGCTATCTTGCTTCCTTGACTAGCCATAGATTCGCAATAATCACAGATCTTACTGAAAGGCTCTGATACTACTAGAAGCAAAAAAAAAACTTTTTGTAGCAATAAGAAAGAATAGGGCTACTTCAATCACTATTGGAGCCTAGATATCTGGGAAAATCCTTAGAGAAGTTTAAAATCTGATAATATCTCAAAATATATTGATAAAGGCTTGGTTTCAGCATATACTGAGTGCTGACCCTTTTATGATATAACTATTAATGAAACTTCACTTTTTTGGACTGACTTTTAAGCTACCCACAAAGTATTATTAACAACTTTTTACCATTCCCATGAGATCTTTAGATTCCCATACCATAATTGATACTTAATAAACTTTGACTAGACACTTTTCAAGATACTATTAATATTTGCATCACTATTTGAGCATAGCATACTCTGGCACAACAAAGTCTTGGGTAACAGTCTGATTCCTTACACATGTTAGTCTGATTCCTTACACATATTTCTATTTTGAAATGTTTGCTTTTACTGTTGTGCTTGTTTCTGATAGAAACTTGTGCAAAGGAAAGTATGTCGCCCAATATTCTTTATTTTTTTAAATTAATGCTTACCTGTATTCTGTATAATGCTACCAAATTATGATTTCTCGAAGAAAATGGGCAAAATTTGCAATCTAATGGGAGATGAAGGACTACAGATCGTGATCATAAAGATCCAATAAGTTAGAGTACGTACAGTAAACTAGACCTAGAGGAGGGGAGGGGAGAGGAGGGGAGGGGAGGGGAGTTAATTCATTTTACGGACACCAAATTGTAAATACTAACTTTTCAAAATTTTAGCTGGTCGTTCAATTTTTAGTTAGTTTTGTCATTCACTGCCTCAATCACAAACACTTAAACACATCAAATAGTAAATAAAGTAAAAGCAAACCACGTGGCCTATTCCAGCCATGAATAATTCACTATAGATAAGGTTTTACAACTAAGTTAAAACATCTTTACCCCAAGAATCCCCTAGTTAACTTTGAGCCAGATTCACGCCAGATGGTCCTCCACGATATTTGTTGCTGCTAGTCAACAAACTCCCAGGAGCTTTCTCTCCATAGTTATTTGATTTATTTATTCTTAACAAAAATACCCGGTTAATGAATCACACTGATATGCTCCTTGCTTTGCTTTCTCATTCCCGTTTAAGATGGTGTTCTAAATAAATAATAAATCTCAAAGCTTTCTTTCTCTCAAAGTATAAATTCTCTCAACTGTGTAGTGATATATCTAAGAGATGCTGTAGGCTGACTGTAACTCATATTTATAATCAATGAAAGAGTCCTATGTGAAATTGTGAATAGGGAAAAAAAATCCTTTCAAAATTCAGTTTTAAGAGAGTTTCCAAAAATCTTCTATACCTATCAATCAATCAATCGTAGCATTCTGTCCAGTTTTGTTCGATCTAGTCATCAATTGAAACATTTAGTTGACATTTTCGATCGAATGAAAATTTTGATCAATCAAAGCTTCAAGCAAAACTTACTTTTTTTTTTTTGTAAAGTATTTTCTTCAAAATTTCAATCAATCTTTGTACAATTTTAAATATTCAAAAACCATAATTTTGAAAAACAAGTTTAAAACTCAAATATCAAACTTAGGTTATAGATGTTCATTTTTTTTCTAAATTATTTAAAATCTATCTTTTACAATTTTAACTATTCCAAAACCATAATTTTGAAAAACATGTTTAAAACTCAAAGATCAAACTTAGGTTATTGATAGTCACTAAGGTCTCATTTCACTTGGCCTAGATATTACGAAGGTCTCATTTCACCGTAGCCTAGATATGCGATTGAGTTTGTGAGATTTTCGGCATGTTCTTCGCTATTGTTCATCTCCATCATCTTCTTTTGGATATAGACAAAGGATTAATGTCATTTAACACAAGTTAAAACCCTAGTTTTAAGTAGTAAATTGCCATCATGAGTCAATTAATCTAGTATGAGATAGAATGTTCAAATATTTTTGTTGTTCTTTGATATTTCAAACAAAATATACTGTCCTACTTCATTTTACTTTTTGTCTAGTATAAACATTTTAAGCTGCATTTTTTAGGGGGGGACTATGATAAATCACCCAAAGCCTGACCGAAATTTGAATTAAACTTTGTGGAGTAAAAATGAGTTGTTTGTGTGGTATCTCTGATTGAACATCAGTTGATGTAAAAAAGAGAAGTAAGAACCGAAAAAGAATTCCTGGAAGTGAATGTTGCCTTTGCTAAGTCAGAATGTTGAGGAAAAAATATATCTATGTCAAATGTGCATCTATAATAAATATGTACCAAGGCCTGCGGCCTAGTGGTATCTCCTCTCCTTTCAAAATGAAAGGTAGAGGGTTAGAGTCTCCCCAAGAGCATTGTGGGAGTTCTTTGCCAGGACCAAAAGAAAAAAAAAAAAAAAATCTATAATGGATATGTATCAGTATATCTGCATGTTTTTCTGAAGGTTCTTTCTTGAAATACTCAGAAAATACATTATTGGTTATAGAAGCATGCCAACTTTGTTAGCCTATTTTGTTTGTTTCTAACAACCATCTCGTCATATGCTTTTTGGCAGTTGAAAATAAAAAAACTAGAGGAACATGGCGTGATAGGCTTCATACATGGAAGGAAATTCTTAGGAAGGATAAATTAGCTGAGGAATTAGATTCAGTAAATGCTAAATATGCTGTCGAATTTGACATGAAAGAGGTTGAGAACAGTCTTCGCAAGGATGTGGTGGAAAAGGTGACAAATACCCAAGGAACCAGGGCATTGTGGATTTCTAAAAGATGGTGGCGCTATCGTCCAAAACTTCCTTACATCTATTTCCTTCAAAAACTTGATTGCTCTGAGGTAAAGATTATATTAGTTGCTACATGTTTTCTTATTTAGAGTCTTGTGGCCAGGGTCTTTACTTGGTAAAGTGATAAAAAATTAGACTGCATGCAACAGATGTGAATGGCAACAACTCTCTGCAAAATATTTCAAAAAGTAAAATCTGTATTTAGTTTACCCTTTCCCTGCACCTGCATATACTGGACCAGCATTGGTAATAGTTGTTTCTAGGCTAGTGCCCTGTTGCCAGGGCCGGCTTGATACAATTTGAGGCCTAAAGAGAAATCACTAAATTAGGCCTTCTCATATTAACTATATTGATACAATACTAATAATTTTTATTTACAAATTATTTCTCTCCTTAACTTGCAATTGTTAGAGAATATATGTTTTTATTTATTTTTGGTTCTCATGGGTTGGTTTAGTATTTTCTCCTTTACATGGGTAGTTTAGTGTTTTTCCTTTTAGTTTTAGGGCATTTGTATTGTATTCTGCACAATTGGTTTACAATTGAATTATATAGTAGCAGCTTCAAATTTTTCATGGTATAAGAGCTGTTGATGACCTGGTTCAGCCTCATTACGATCACAATCTTCGTTCATCCACTTTGACTGCTTCGCAAACCCTAATTGCAGCATCTTGAATCTCTCTTTAGTCAAATCACAACCCTATTTCGCATCATCGCATCACATATTCTCTTTTCTGTTCATCATTGTAGAGATCAGCAAACCCTAATCAAAATAAATTGGAACAATCACATGGCAACAGCAACCATTGCATCGCAACAGTAATTGACTTTCTTTCTCTTTCAGTTCGACTTACCTTCATCTCTGTTCGCATCTTTCACTCTGTTCAACTACAGCACCCAGCCAATTGTAATACCATCAAACAGTCGTGACGTGACGACATACCAATTCTATTTGATTCTTTACAATCAGTTGACAACATCTCAGTCTTTTTACAGCAGAGTCTGGATTCTCCTTTCTTTTGTTTCTAGACCAGTACAGTTGCTGCTTGGTTGCTTTCGTTCATCTCTGATCATTGATTCTCTTTCAGTTTGATTTTGCACAACATTGTTTTTGTCTTCACCAAACGACATCTTGGACTTCATCGTAACACTGTATCGACTCACATTCACATCACGATCTTGCATCTTCTTCTACAGTGACTCACTGTTCGCAGCAGGACCTTGCAGCTTTGGGACCTTTGCTTAACCGTAGAATAGCAGCGATCTGTTTGGAACCTATTTACATTGACTTTGGGCAGTGATTATACATATTATTGGTTGACTATTTCTTTTTAAGATGGCCAGTGGTAATACAAACTCTCTCCAGGCTATTAGTGTGAAATTGACTGGTGAAAGTTATGTGTATTGGTCATACGTAATGACAAATTTTCTTCTGGGCAAAAACCTGTGGGGTTATTTTGCTGGGTTTGTGACAATTCCGTCTGATAAAAAGGCTGAAAATTATATTGACTTGTTGACTACGTGGGAAGTGAATAATGCCTAGTTAATAACTTGGATAAATAATTCTATGGATTAGTCGATTGGTTTGCATTTAGCCAAATTCTCTACAGCGAAAGAAATATGGGATTATTTGTCCAAGTTATATGTTCAATCCAATTTTTCCAAACGATATCAGTTGGAGCATGAGATTTGGTATGCTAGACGGAGTGGCAATTGTTTGCACTTTGATTGCTGTAGCAGCAGTTCATCGGTGGGGCCTTTCACAGATGGACGTAAAAAATGCCTTCTTGAATGGGGATTTGGCTGATGAAGTTTATATGATTCCTCCCCCTGGTCTTTCTCGTAATTCTGGGGAGGTATGTGAACTTAAGAAGGTGTCATATGGTCTCAAACAAGTTCCAAGGGCTTGGTTTGAGAAATTCTCTACGGTGATATGTGACTCAGGCTTTCATTCCCGTGATCATGATTTAGCTCTCTTTTTTTGTTCTACTTCTGCTGGACGTATCATTCTTCTCTTAAATGTTGATGATTTGATCCTTACCGTTGCCAATAGAATTACTTATTTGAAGTCATAGTTGCAACAGTAATTTGAGATGAAAGATCTTGGTACTCTCGGATATTTTGTTTGGCACTGAAATAGTCTCTTCTCCCAAATACTATCTTCTTTCTCAGTCCAAGTATGCAGTGGAGGTTATTCGCAAAGCTCGTCTCACAGATTCCAGGACAGTTGAGATTCCTCTAGAGATCAATGTTCGGTACACTGCCTTAGATGGTGTTCCCTTGTCTGGTCCTACTTTGTATCAAGTTGTAGTTGGTATTTTAGTGTATCTCATAGTTACACGACCTGATCTTACCTATGCAGTACATATTGTCAGTCAGTTTGTGTCTTTTCGTACTACAAATCACTAGGCTGTCATTCTTTGTATTTTGCATTACCTCCAGGGTAAGTTACATCATAGTTTGCTGTTTTCCTCTACATATCCTTTGGAACTTCGAGCTTTCTCTGGAGACTCAACCGATCGTAAGTCCACTACTGGCTTTTGTGTCTTTCTAGGTGATTCTCTTATGTCCTGGAAAAGCAAGAAGCGGACAGTTCTTTTATGGTGTTCCCCTTTCTGTTCCCACTCCTATGCATTGTGATAACAAGTGTGCCATCCAGATTGCTCATAACTCTTTTTATCATGAGCGTGTTCAACTTGACGCTATCTCTCTATCATATGTCTCTTCTACTATGCAGTTGGCTGACTTCTTCACGAAGTTCCCCACGCTATTATATGTTTTCATTTTTTTCTTAAACTCTGGATGCTTCTCACTGTCACATCGTGAGTGAGATTGGTGTTTTGGGGGGGGTGTGTGTTACATTATTTTTTATTTATTTTGGTTCTCATGGGTAGTTTGGTCTTTTTCCTTTTAGGGCATATAATACTCATGTATTGTATTATGCACAATTGTTATACGATTGAATTATACAGCAGCAGCTTCAAAGTTTTCAGGAATAAGCTCAAGGAAATATAAAAACACTATTTACATTTTTTAGCTTAAGAGAGAGTGATTTAATTGTGTTGGCAATTGATGTGTAAGAGAGTCAAATCAGTCAATTATGATGTTAGACAAGTATTGACATGTAAGAGAATTTTACAATTACAAGAAGTCCAAAAGGTGTGATATTGGTGAGAGAAAAAATGAAGTAATAATGAGGTAAAACTTTTTGGTTAAAGAAACTTGTAGTGACATGTATTTATTGGTAATTAATATAATAAAGAAGCATACTTAATACATTAAAAATATACATAAGTAATATAATGAGATCAATTTTATGGGCCTCTTCTCCCGTTGGGGGCCTTAGGCGGTCACCTTAGTTGCCTTAAGGTTGAGCCACCCGTGCCCATTGCTACTCTAATTTCCAGTCCTCCTAATTTTCAATCGGGGACACTTTAAATGTGTTGGAAAATGCAACCATTAAGAAAGTGCTATGGATATATAATTGTGTTATTCTGTCTTTTAAATTTTAGGGTCTTACAACAGATCCAAAATATGGTTCATAACACAAAAAATTGAGTTGGTACAGTGTTCAAGTTTGGAGCAAAGTGTTTTCTGATTTCCTGCAATTGATGCTATACATGCTTGGAAACAGAATTATTTCAGATGCTCCAAACAGGAAATGAGACTTGGTTCCAATGTTGTTTTAAAGATATTGAAAATACTTAATGTTCAGTAATCTGTAATTCCTTAATGATATATATACCTGTAAGAACTTGCCAGGCAATTTCTAATACCTTGGATTTGTGGTCAGGTTGCTGCTGTTGTCTTTACAGAGGACCTGAAAAGATTGTACGTGACAATGAAAGAAGGGTTCCCATTAGAATATGTTGTAAGCCTGATATCTCAATGTTATATGTGCCAAAACTGAAATGAATGTCTCCTTGATTAAAATTGCTTGATAGTATTTTCATTTTGTAGGTTGATATTCCACTTGACCCTTATTTGTTTGAGGCTATCTCAACTTCTGGAGTTGAAGTAGATCTCCTTCAGAAGCGGCAGATCCATTACTTTCTAAAAGTTGTAATTGCATTGCTACCTGGTATTATGATATTGTGGTTTATAAGGGAAACGTTGATGCTTCTACACATTACTTCGAAGCGTTTTCTTTATAAAAAATATAATCAACTTTTCGATATGGCTTATGCGGAGAACTTTATCCTGGTAATTTATAGGATCCTCAGATTGGAAATATTACTTTCTCGTGTTTACTTAAACTCCTTTCAATCTCAATTGTGTTTCACTTCCTGTTCAGCCAGTTGGAGAAGTTGGTGAAACAAAATCCATGTATAAAGAAGTAGTACTAGGAGGTGATGTCTGGGATCTTCTGGATGAGTTGATGATTTACATGCGAAACCCAATGCAGTACTATGAAAAGAGCGTAAAGTTTGTTCGGGTAATCTTTCTAGATTCATGAAAGAATGAAGCAGTTGTTTTCTTGGAGCCATCCATTGTGCGTTGTAGTGTGTGATTAAATCATTTGATGTTTATGTGCATGACAGGGTGTTCTTCTGTCTGGACCACCAGGAACGGGAAAAACTCTTTTCGCACGGACGCTTGCAAAAGAAAGTGGAATGCCTTTTGTTTTTGCGTCTGGTGCGGAGTTTACTGATAGTGAAAAAAGTGGTGCTGCTCGAATTAATGAGATGTTTTCTATTGCGAGGAGGAATGTAAGGATCCTCCTCTCCTTGGATTTGATAATGCTATGTCTTATAATAAAGAGAGGGTGGGCCTTGGCGCATGGCAAGGGTACTCCATTGTGATCTGTAGGTCATGAGTTCAAAACCAGAAACAGCCTCTCCATGCGGAGGTAAGGCTGCATACATCTGACCCACCCTGGACCCCGCAATGGCAGGAACCTCGTGCACTTGGCTAGCCCTTTAGCCCTTTATATCTTATAATTGTCTACTGGATGTCTCTACTTGTTTCATATATATAATTTTAAATTTAGCTATTTGTTCATTGTAGACTTGAAAAAAACCAGATGCCTTCATCAGTTTCATATGCAATATATCTGATGCTATCAGGAAAATTGCCCTCGTGTGTCTTAGAAAGAAACTGACTCACCAACGGGCAAGTGGCCAAGCGGTACCGAGCCCTTACTTCTTAAAGGGAGGTCAGGGGTTCAAGTCTCAGTGGAGGCATGGGTGTATGAGCACCAAACTAAGAAAAAAAAGGAACCGACTCAGAGCCATATTAGTGCCTGTACTCAGATGGTTGAAGAAGCTAGGAACTTCTTGCTGCCTTCTAGTTGACTTTTCTGATTTGTAGAATTTACCTCTTCCCTTATGTGTATTATTGTTTCAAGAGTTTTAAGCTTCCTTCTTGCTCCTAATTTTTGTGGTGAGTTTCCTGTTGTCCAGTTCTGTGAACTGTGAAACTTGAGAACATTATTTTTATTTTTATTATTATTATTTTCCTTTAGATCTTTGACCTTACCTTTAAGGAGCATAAGATTTTACCCTTCTGATAAGGGACTGAGGAACTAAAATGAGGACAGAAAGATGTTTTTGTTAGAGTAGGAACACAAACCAAGAATAGGCAGATCGATTACTTGTAAAGTGCGAACCTCTTACTGACATAGGAAAACTTGTTCCTGTTACTGGACAAGAAGCTACATCAATGAATTCCTGGTAAGCATGAAGTGGCATCAAGACAGCCAAATATTCAAACCTGATACCAAATTAAATATGTCTTGGAATTTCTATGTACACTTGGATTCAGACATTCTGTCAACCAAAATCCTAGAATTACAGAGCCCTAACTGTAATAAATCATTTTATTCTATCAACAAGAACCCATAGTTCTCCATAAAATTATTGTCTTAATTGTAATGAAGGGCAAACCAGCTGAACCTCACTTGATATCCACATAATAGAAGACTTATAACATGGTATGCCAACTATAACAATTAGTTTGAGCACAGACTGGCGGTGTTATCTGGCTGCAAGTAACTGGAACTTTATGGTAGTAATTTAAATGGATTGAACTCAAATTTTAATTTTAGGGAGAAAATAAATAATAAGAAAACTCACATATCCTCAGTGCAGGCTCCTGCTTTTGTGTTTGTGGATGAAATTGATGCTATTGCTGGAAGACATGCAAGAAAGGATCCACGAAGAAGGGCAACATTTGAAGCTCTCATTTCACAGCTGGATGGAGAGTAAGAATCTTAGTTTTATCCTAGCGTCTTCATACTGCATGAAAGCCTACAATGTGGCTCACATATAACTGTGGCTTTGTATGAAAATTTTCATATTTCTGTAAGACAGCCTTATGGTACAGTTACTTTCTAGAAGATCGAGATTCAGCATACAATAGGGCCTTCATAAAGTATATACATGAAAGTATTATTATGTGGTGATATGATTTTGGATCAGAAGGCTTTACCATGTTACTTTTGAGGATCTTATTTTGAAGGACTTGCTAGCAATCTTAAACGGCAACACTCAAATTTTTTATTTTTATTTTTTTTTTAAAAGAAGGAAAAACTCAAAGAAAAAGAAAATCTTGGACGTCAACACCGTAACTGTTGGTTATCTAGTACATGGCAAAGCAACATGATAATCCTAAACATGTATACTTCGTTGGTTTTTCAACTTTTATTTTTCGATTGAATATCCCAGATATTTATCTTTTTAACATATTCGAGTAGTGCCTGTAAGCCTCTAAAATAGATATCTGAGATCACCAGATGCAATGATAATTTGGGACTGACAATTTATTGATTTGACAGCAATAAACAAATCCCACATGTCCAATCATGGACCCATGGTGTTTAAAAATCTTTACTTTTATAAGTGTCATTTTGTTAGAATACTGAGTAATTCATCAAGAAAAAGGATGGATGTAGTTTCTAACTGATCAGCTTCCTCTTTTGGAAGGGTTAGAGTGAGATAACGACACAAATGAAGCTCTAATGTCAACACAAAACCTAATAAATTTTCGTATCTTCTCCATTTCTTTTCATGTTCTATATTTGATGGTATGTTAGATTGATGTGGTGCAATTTCAAAAATGAGAACTATAGAAGGAAACTACCTTTAGCCGTTACATTTCCATTCGTATTTCAAATCAAAATCACTTGCAGTTGTCCTTCCTTTTTCATAATCTTGTTTTTAAAATGGTTGTTGATATTTAATCTATCATATGTAGGAAAGAGAAAACTGGTGTTGATCGATTTTCACTGAGACAAGCTGTTATATTCATCTGTGCTACGAATAGGCCAGATGAACTGGACCTAGAATTTGTTCGCCCTGGACGTATTGATCGTCGTTTATACATTGGTTTACCTGATGCAAAGCAGCGGGTGCGCATTTTCCAGGTACACAGTTCAGGAAAGCAACTTGCTGAAGATGTTGACTTTGAGAAGGTATCTCTTTGTTCACACGCCCCCCCCCCCCCCGAACCCACCCAAAATGAGTTATCTGTTTTTAGTTTACTGCACTTATTATCATCATTAGTTATATATGGTTGTTAGTATTTTATAGGTTATTTCTTATATATTCTGAATTTTATTTACAAATTCCATATTTCATTATATGCATGTTCTATCATTTGGTTGGCGTGCCTATCTCTGCTTCCTAAGCCAAGTTGTGTCTTGAAATTGTCTGCTTGTTTTAATAAATCTTTTCTTTTTCATAAGAAAATTAAATATTATATTATATCTGCGAGCAAGGGGCCATTGCTTGATATGATGGTACAACTTGGCTAGGAAGTGTGAGAAATGCGGGCATTATCTTAGAATGGCACTTCAAAAGAAATAATACAAAAATGTTAGGTCTGTTTCCAGTCCAACCCTCCTAACGCTTTAACGGACCAAGTCTGGATAATGACACCACCATATATTACATGTTGCCGAAGTGTAGGGGACATGCTTTATTAAAATCTTGCCATGGATGGTGCTTGGTGTTGATGTTGTTTGTTCTTTATAATGAAGGCATTATTTATTTACATAACTATGGTCGTTTTAGAGGTGTGGGTCGGTCCTTCCATTATTGATAACTAGTGGTAGAAAACTACTAGTGAGCTTAGTGAATGTCGATATTGTGTCCTCAAATTGCTCAAGTCTGAGAGACTGAAAGCGCAGTTATACACACTTCTTCAGACTTTTCACTGGAAATGAATAAACCAAAGATCCAACGTATACTGGAGTGGATTTAATTATTATATATTTGAGATTTTCTAGACTCCAGCTTATTAGGTAAAAAGTTAATATTTGAGAATTAAGAGAACACAATAGCATAACTAGAATCACTAAGCTTGTGCATACTGTGTGGGTTGTAGTTGTGCACGCTTTTTTTTTTTTGGTTCCTTTTTCTTTTTCTTTCTGGCCAGATGATAAATATTCAACTTAGATTATGGCATCTAAATGTTGAGCATCAGTGGTTATTGGCTTGTTTTGTTATAGGCTATTCAAGTGGGTTACTTTTTCAGAACTTTCTTTTGGGAAGGTGAGGGTTCAAGTTCCTGTAGGGGCAAATGGGTATTAAATTGAAGCTGAAGACAAGGCAACACTCTGTGTGCGTGTGCGCACGCGCGCGTGTGCGCACGCGCGCGTGTGTTTTTTGCTGCGCAGCAAGCACATAGTCTCTCTTTATAAGTGGGCACTAGAACAGCAACATGCTGTTAAATTGTGACATGGATTTTTATTATCCCTGTTGGGATGAGATAACAGAGATGCCTATGATTAATCACCTTAGTAGTGTTTTCTATGCTGAATTTGGACCGTTTAGAACTCAATTTGAGCTGTGCAGTTTACTCAGATTGATGACAGATTTTCTTGTAAAAATTGTCCTCTATGTGTTCATTTTGCTAATCTTTTAACTATCTTTCAGTGAATGCTATGAAATTGCAGTTGCATTATGCTTTTGTAATTTAATAGTATGTAATTTCTGGCAGTTCCAGTGATCTTTTATTTCTGTTAAAAAGCAAATGTTGAGTTCTTTACATTTATTGCTTATCAATGTATGGTACACTTTAAATCTTTGGGCTTACTGTTATTTTTTCCATTCTACAGTTTGTTTTCCGCACCGTTGGTTACTCGGGGGCAGATATTAGAAATCTTGTCAATGAATCTGCTATAATGTCTGTAAGTTCTTTGTACTCTTTCCCAAAAAGTTGATCCTGTATTTTTTCTGTCATATATTTGTCTTGATTTTGACTCTTAGAGAGCTGTATGCTTATATGGAAGCTTCTTTTGAGAAGGAAAAAAGTGTAAAAAAGTGAATACTTTTTGGCTCTTTAAACATATAGAAAGATTCTTATTCTATCATTCACAATAAAAAATTGCAATTATGAAGTACTTGTATAATGCTTGCCAGATTGCCATTGCAATAATTTTGCTTAAGCATTAAGTAACTGCAATAATAGCAAGGTGCAAAGAAGTTTTTCATCATCAGGATTAGAAGATGCATCATTGGAAGAATCATATACGGACGAAGATACATTTGTTGCTTAAGAAAGTGGGTTTTGCTGCAAAAGGATCCTTTTCGCGTAATTGGAAGAATCATATTCAGACTTAGTTGCATTTCATTGCTTTCGAAAATCGATGTTGACTCCTAAACCCTAACTTTCAAATGCAGTCTTCAACTCTTCATTCGACACTGTTGGATCAAATTGCTGTTTACTATAGATGCAACTTTTCAACCTACTTGTGAGCCAAGTAAAAGTTTTGTATCCTCTTTCACTTTGCAGTTAGCCCTTTTTCTCCAAACACCTTGCTCATTTAATTTTACAAAACTGGCCTTCCTGCAAATGCATGCAGACGCACACTCATACGCATCCCTACAGGCACACAATCAGAAACATCTGTAAAATCTTCTTTATGTTCATATGCATGCACTCTGAAGGTGCTCTAATCCTTAGGGACCCTGAGGATTATGTTGTGCATAATAGAAATTGGGGTTTGCTGCAAAAGGATCCCAGTTTGCATTCTGGCAGAGAGGTGACAAAATCTTCAATGGTGTCTTGCAATATCGTGAAAATGCCTTTTGCAACACATTGAATTTTTTTTGGGCAATACACGCTAGACATCTTGTAATACAGGCTGAGACAACACAGTATCCCTATTTTTTTGTACTAAGCCGTGACCGTCTAAAAGCCTGTGATAATAAAATGAGACTGCTTAGGGTGTGGGGATTTCATTTTCCAAGACTGAAATCCCTGATGCTTTGGTTGTCACTCTTTTTCCCTGACCTGAACACTATGAGTGGGGATTTCATTTTCCAAGAATGTTGAGTTATTTAAGGATTTGTGGATGGTAAAACTTGATATACTAAGGATGGAAATGAAGTTCTGCACATTCATATTTTATACATGTGCTGTTCAGTAATTGTTATTCTCAGGTGGAACTCTAGCTCAGTTGTACCCTATAATAGTTGTTCATGCATTAGAAGTGAATGACTGTGTTGGAGATGTCTTTTACGATTTTCTTGAATATGCAGGTGAGGAAAGGACATTCCAAGATCTATCAGCAAGACATTGTTGATGTGTTAGACAAACAGTTACTTGAGGGCATGGGAGTGCTCCTCACGGAGGAAGAGCAACAAAAATGCGAACAAAGTGTATGCTTTGGCAGTACTTATCAAAGTGAAAAGCTGCTTATTTTTCCTTTTTCTCCCACTGAATATTCAGTTAATGTAATCATATGTTAGGTATCTTTTGAGAAAAAGAGACTTCTGGCAGTACATGAAGCTGGTCACGTATTGCTGGCACACCTGTTTCCTCAATTTGATTGGCACGCGTTTTCTCAGCTCCTGCCTGGTGGCAAGGTACCATATCTGATCGTAGAGATGAATACTAAATGAATTTCGTTGAATCCTATTTGATGGGTTTATCGTCTTAACATGGTTCTTTCCCAACTTTTGTAGGAAACTGCAGTATCGGTTTTTTACCCCAGAGAGGATATGGTAGACCAAGGATATACAACCTTTGGCTACATGAAAATGCAAATGGTGGTAGCTCATGGTGGGCGTTGTGCTGAACGTGTTGTCTTCGGCAATGACATAACTGATGGGGGAAGGGATGATCTTGAAAAGATAACAAAGGTAAGTAGAGTAACCTCAATCTTGCCCTAACTGTAGGATTATTGATCCTGATGCTATCTTTGCTTTGATTTTTTTATCTGAAGCATTAGTGTTTTTGTATGTCAATTTTATCTTCAGTAGGATGGTTTCCTTTTCTTACTTTCCTGTTCTTAAGTGATGCTTGGCAATACAAAGGAGAAGTGGAGGGATATATGAGGCGGAGGTAGAGTGTCATATCAATACCACTCTACATCTTGGAATTGGCCAACTTGTACTAATCTTGTATTGCAAGAGATTGAGATACTCATAGCTGCTTTCCATAACTCTTGTAAGGCTTATGATTTGAAGTGAGCCTGAAGCAAGTCCTAAAAACTAACAGTAGGCACAATCTGGAGATCAAAATCCTGTACTGCTTATGCCTTGGGCATATTCAATGTTTGAGGTTTGTACCTGAAACATTGTCATTGAAACTGGCTAATGGCTACCTTGGAAGTCATCCTTAAATTCTTTTCTTTAATTTGTTCTTGTTAACTTCATATGAATGCAACATTACATTCAAAAGCTCTTTGAGGTTCTATATTATAACGACTTTTGAATAGCAGATTGGGTTCAGCCTTCCAATTTTGTTGTTTATCTTAACTACGTTTGAACTGTCATCACAGTAAATGAATAAATGTGAATTGTGAGTCAACATGGTTATGATATTTATAGTTCTGCTACATGAATTCTATTTCTTTCTTCACTCTATCCAAATCCATATATTCTTTCAAATTATTGAGTCATACTTTTTCTCACAACGTCATCTAGTCTGGTCTTTCTCGTCCTTGGAGTGCTTTCCTTTGAACCATAGTCGTCCCATGTATTCATTGTTATATGCTGGGCAACTAAACCATCTAAGAGACTTCTTCTCATGGTCCCAGTTGTTGCTAACCCCATCTTCTTATAGATCAGTTATATATTTGGTAAAATTATTTTCTTATTTTGCAGTTTCCCCTTGCTGGGTCTTCATTCCCTTGTGCTCATTTTATGGATAGCTTTTGTTATAGCATATTTCTTTGATCAACCACGGAAACTACAATCTTTTTTACTCACCACTGCCCTAAAAGCTGCGCAGGGCACTTGTTAATAGATATAACCAAACTTATTCACTTAAAATTTCTTCTCATTTAAGAATTTGAATTTAAAGAAATGGATGTGTGGCCTTGGTATGCATGAAAGATCGACCTCCTTCATATAAGTACCAACAAGTAACAGCCTCAAAGAAACTGGAGTCCAAGGCATTCTTTGTAAAGTGTAGAATGAAAATTTCAAGTACATCGTATAATTTTCTATATTTTGGAAACATGAGATTTTACCTATCTAACATGTATACCACTTCCTATCAAATTGTGGGTGCAATTGAGTTGTGGATACATTTTAGTTCAGATGCTTGTTCAGGAACTCACTTAAGCTGTATACAGATTGCTCGGGAAATGGTCATAAGCCCAAGAAATTCGAGGTTGGGGCTTACTGCTTTGACAAAAAGAGTTGGACTGATGGATCAACCAGATAGTCCAGATGGTGAGCTGATAAAGTATAAGGTGTATCTTTTTTCTCCTTCGCAACTTTAGTAAATTTGTGTGCCTATGTTGTCATTATCTTTTTGTAACTTAATATTTCTGCCCTATTAATTTTTAGTGGGATGATCCTCATGTGATTCCTGCCAGTATGACACTTGAAGTTTCTGAGCTATTCACTCGAGAATTGACAAGGGTAAGTATATAATTTGCCTTTTATTCACAGTTGTATACCATATAGCAAGGACATTGATGGGTTAGGTGCCTGCAATTTATACATGCCATTGACATTATTAGCAAAAAGTTACAGTTATTGCTATGTCAATAGGTGTCAAATACTTAAATGCACAAGTCTGTTTTAATTGTGTCATCACACATATGAGATCATTATTGACAAGAACACTATTTAAGTATTTATTATCCTTTAAGACTAGCGTTCATAGTTTTCACAAGGAGATGATAATCCTTCTTAATGAAATATTTTCCTTGCGTTAATACTTTTTCCTATTTTCTTAATAAAATCTTAGTTTATTATGCAAAATCTATATATGTATATAATTGTATATACATACACATATCCTTTATGTCCTTCTTGCTAAACTAATAATTGTCTTGTCACCATCAATATTAATTATTATCACGACTGAGTGGGGAGATGAACTAAAGGAAACAGTAAATAAAGGAAGAGGATACCACTCTTACCATTAATATACTGCAAGTGGAATGGGTATAAGAAAAAGAGAATAGTTATCTAGTTTCTAAACAACACATGCTAAAGTTGATTCAGTTTTACTTGGAAATCCCTTTACTCTTACGTTTTCTATAATAATTATATATTCTCATGTGATGAGGTTTGATATTGGTAACAGTACATTGAAGAGACAGAAGAACTTGCAATGAATGGATTGTTCAACAACAGACACATACTGGATATGATTGCAAAAGAATTATTGGAGAAATCCAGGATAACTGGATTGGTATGCATTTACATTTATTATCATGTAATTCAGAGCAAATATTGCATCTTTAAATTGAATTTAATCTTCCTGATATGAAAGTATGTGCTACTAATTGAATAATCCTTACGTCTTTAATTCATATGGTGATGTCTACTGTTATTTATCAATTAATCAAGTGCCACTTGAAATGGTACCATAACATAAGCCATTAGTGCATAGGGTCTTTGTACACTGGCGTTTGCGCATGCAATCTATATATGTCATGAAGTGGAGATTCACTAAATATCGTAAAATAAGGAACTAATTTCTGTAAGTTAGAATAAAAAATTTAAATGGTGATTTGGAAGCAGAATGACTCTGTTATTGCCTGTATCAGATGTCTATGTATATAGATAGACTTACATTATTACATATGTAATACTTTGACTAATACTTTGGAGATAAGAGAGACTGCGGAGAGACAAACACAAGAAATTATGAAGAATTATTTTTATAGGGTTAAAGAAAAAGTGTTTTTTATTTTTTTTTGGGGGGGGGGGGGAGGGGGGGCGCGTGTGGTTGTTTGCAAACACAAGAATTTGGCACCTTGCAAGGTCTTTTCTATATCAGGTCATTATTTACAAGCAGGTCTATCATGCCATCTCATGTTGGTGTGGAGCTGGGCTAATTTTTTGGCCAAATGAATGGTTTGGGTGGGACTCTGCACAACTTAAAGGGAAAATATTATACTCTCTTTGGAACAAAACATGTTCCTTGAAAAGGATGCTGTCTCCATGTATTCTAGTTAAAATTTTGCAGTAATTTTGTCCCTGCATGCTGTATACCTGTTACTACATTAAATCTTAGGACAACTACATAAAAAACAAAGTTTGACCCAACTCCAGGAGCAGTTTACTTAATCTTTTTATTAGAAAGTACCCATTACTAAGTAGAGACGGAATCATACATGTGTACAAGTTCCAAAAGTCCAAACCATACGAAATGGAAAGGCAAAAATGGCCTCAAAAAATGGTGGAATAACATTTATACGAATGTTTACATATATAATATATGTGTATGTATATATCAAGATTGTCGGATGTTGCTTCTCTTAGATACGTTTGTGTTATATATGGCTTGTGTTGGCCTAATGTTCGGGATTCTTGTCAAGTGTCTGGAATATGTCATCTAAGCTCTAAATTATGGACATGTCCATGTAGTGTCGGACATGCATCTATGAGTGTCTGGGAAGTTTGATGTCTGACATGTGTCCAACAATGTCATGACACCTTCATAGAACCGTGCTTTGTAGGTTTGCTGTTAGATTGTGCTACTTGACAATATTATGCAAGTTTCAAGTTTTTGTGCTACTTGACTATATTCTGTAAGTTTCAAGTTTTTTGATAGGTTTGTCAAAAATGTCTTATCTAGTAGATTGCAATTGGGCCTCATTTTATTTGATTATTTCTTCAACTATTGCAAGTTCTATTATGGAACTTGGGACTAAGTCATGCACCTTTGCCATTTCCTTTTAGGAAGTTGAAGAGAGAATTAAAGGACTTTCTCCAGTTATGTTTGAAGATTTTGTGAAGCCTTTCCAGATAAACTTGGAAGAGGTATTCTGCTTAGCTTTCTCTCTTACTCCTTCTTATTTTATTTTATTTATTTATATTTTGACCACTAATATGATCCAAATATATGAATGCAAAAGCAAATTAGAGCATTACCATGATTGAGTCGAAATATGTTTAAAGTAATTTCCAAATGGAATGGTCTTCTATATGCTGGTATATTAAGATTTTTTGTAGACATCAACCGTCTGAATGCTCCTTGTGATTCCTTTATTGGTTTTGTCACACTTTAAAGTTTCCTTTGCGGATAATTCACAAATGTTATGTTAATGGTTTCCGCTTAGTTTCTGCATTGTTGAACTAGTAATGATCCAAATCTTACAGAATTGTCTACCTTCTAACTACTTTGTGCTTAGTTTAGACTTCTTTAGTTGCCGGTAACTCTTTATTTATTTATTTACTAAGCAGATTATTTTGCTGGGCACTCAGTTTGGATGTCCTACATGTATTTACTTTTCTTGAACATGAGAATTTGAGGTATAGTGTACATTCAACAGACTTAACGCCAGACATTAACTGCATATCTGTCTTGAAGATAACACTGTAAATATTGAAGTGTGAAGCGGAAGCCATGATCGTGGCCTGAGCTTGGCACCATATTCAATGTAAAGTCGAGCACATGATTTGTCTAGCTTTTGTGGACAGCTATCCATCTGTCGAGTAATTATTTTTTGAAGACTTCGGCCAAGCATTGGATGCATTTGGTGGGACACGGAAAGTGGATCCCACCATATGCATCATACTGATGATGTGTGGCTCGGCCAACGTCTTCAGTTGAAGACTTTGGCGAGAATAGCATTGTTCATGTGTCACAATAAATAGCAACTTTGGAAAATGCATTATCCAGCACATGTTGAAACTATTTCCAATGGTGGAGTGTCTCTATGAGTGAATAGATATTCACTTGCAATCCTGGAATTTCTACGGTGGTACAAACACTGATTGCACACATGCACGTGCTTAAATTTGTTGGAAGGCTGTACCTTGAGTTGAAAACAGGATAATTGTCCTGAATGCATTTGCATTTGGCTATGGTTATCTTGGTCAACTATAAACATCTTCTTTTCTAAATATTGCTGTGAAGAAATTTGCCTGGCTTTCTTGTTGAATCCGAGTTTTGTATTTTGAATTCTTTAAGGTGGGAGATGGACCGTTGCCTCACAATGACCGCTTGCGTTATCAGCCACTGGACATATATCCTGCACCATTGCACAGATGTTAAGACACCCTCTTTTGATTTCCTTGCTGAATTTTTGTTCCCCAAAAGGGGTATATTATGGTTGCTTTGGTTGCCACGCATCAGTGAAGAAAGATGATCTCGTTTCGGCAATGAGCCAACCAACCAGATTGCTTACAGTGACGGTTGAGTTGTTATGGTTGAAGCTTGTTCATACCTGAAGGGCGGCTAATGTGATGAGGCTAAGGAAGTATGCTTGTTTTTTTTCTTGAAATATAAAATTAAAAAATCTGATGTTGTATTATAACTTTGATATAAGAAGTAAAGGTTTCATTTTTCTTCTGTTTCTTTCTTAGAGGTACTGTCTTCATATTTATATACAGATTTCATGGCTTGTATTATACTTTCTTCATGAATGCACCAACAAATAATAATAACTCAACTCAATTCAAGCAAATAATTATAACTATTTGGAGTTTGTTATGTCATACTTGTGCAACGGAGTCTCTGTGACACGCAAAATTAAGTATCTTTTACATGTTTTTTTTTTTTTTCGGTTTGGAAGAAACTCACATTCCCACATACCCTTGTGTTAAATCCTAGACCTCTCACTCTGGGAGATAGATGAAGTATTATTAGGTTATAAATATTTTTCGCACGTGAGATTAAAAAAAAAAAAAAAAAATCAATGACCTGGGGGTAATAAGCAACGTTCGCACGGTTGAGGGGCTGATTTACATCATTCAATAGTTCACGAGTTTTTTTTAAAGAATTGCATAGGACGATTTCACACCCACAAGAACTAATCAATTAGTAAGTTTTTTATACATCAACTGTCAAAACATAGCTAACTTTTGGGCTTGGATTTTGGGCAAAAGTTGTATCATCTATAAATCACCATTAACTTCCAGGCATTCACCATTAACTTTACTTTTGGGCTTGGATTTTGGGCAAAAGTTGTATCATCTATAAATCACCATTAACTTCCAGGCATTCACCATTAACTTTTCTGTAAATAACACACACGGTAAAATGCCAAAAAAAAAAAAAAAACATTAATGATGGGGGTTTTGCAATTAACTCTCCTGAACTATAAGAAATCCTCCTCAACTATGAATTTGTTACAATTTACCCACTCAAGTAAGCGGAAAAGTAAAAAGATAAAGCCGCCCTTCCAATAAAACGACTCAGTTTGGCAAACAAATATCAAACCAACTACAGACTTCTTCCTATTTGCAATTTTGCAGACCCAAAAACACCCTCTCTCTACTCATCTATGCCCAGCCGTGTGCTACCACCCAATTTCATCGTCTCACCAACAGCAACTTCGTCATTAAATCAAACCTTGAACCCCCTCCACGTCATCTCTCGTCCCCCTCTCTTTTCCCAAATTACAGACACTGATGGTGAGCTTGGTTTTGGAGTCGACGAATTCGGCCATGGACTCGGCCAATCGAGAGAAGTCTCCGGCGTCCAATCTGAAGCGAATCATCCTCGAGGTTGCGGGAGCGGTTGGAGAGGTGATGAAGCGATTGAGGAGTTGGATGTTGAGGTAGATGATCCCGGATTCAGATCGGGATTGGAGGTTGAGGAGGTTGGTGACTCGGTCCGAGTCCAACTCGGAAGTGATGGTGTTGAAGAGAGTGGTGAGAGTTATGAGGAGGAAGATGAGATGGGTGACAGACGATTGCAGATATGTGAGAGTGCGGAGAGAGAAACTCGGTTACTGTCGTCCCGGCCGAATCCGGCCATTCAAGAGTCCAGCACTGGGTCAGTCGAGACTCACTGGAACTAGATGAACGGAGCTAGCTGCTGGGTCAGTCCAGGCTCACATCGGATTTCATGTAAGTCAAAGCCCAAAGCTCTCGCCGGTTTTCATCGACGTCGAAGCTCAGAGCTCGCCGGAACAACACGTTAATTTGGGTCCTTGAAAATTCGCCGGTGAAGTTGCTTAAACTCTTAGTCAATCTGGTTGTTGATGCTCAAGCTTCTCGCCTATCTACCAACAATCTTCCTCCTATCCAAGAAATTTATCCATCTCTCTAATCCCCTTCCCCTTTCTCTCTTTCTGTTTTTCTTTTTTTCTTTTTTTTTTTTTTTCCCTCCCAAAGAACTGTCTATATTAGACAGGTATGGTATACTGATTAAGAAAAATCAGACCTTCTATATGTATTTTAACTGATTAAGAAAGAATTATATTCCAATTTGAAATATGGGATATTGATTTGTTCTTAGTCCAATTTAGGCGCCCCGGTCATCTGTCTCCATTGACGAAACCCTTACCAAGATGCACAACTGATTGGCACGAAAGCACGATGGCTGATTGAAAACGAAGACAAACCCTAGCAGTGACAGAGTCGTTGAGTTGGGAAAATTCTGATAAAAGGCGAGTTTGTGTTGGTGTTCCATTTGAAGAAATTGGAAATTAAGGGCATTATTATCTTTTTATGCTTTTATGGGTAATATGGTTATTTAAATTTAACAAACCAATTTTAACGGTCATATATATCACTAGAACTTGGACGTACGGAGCCTACAATAATTTTGCATAGTTCAGGGAGAATATTTTTTAAAATTAAGGGGTTAGTTGCAGGTTTCTCCGGGCTTCTTGCGTTTCACCCTAGCACACAAGGTCGTCCATTGCCAAGAAGTTGTATTATGCACTCATATAGACATATACATATATATATATATACATACATACATATTAGTAAAATTGTACAGAGCAAAATCTAATTTAAAATTAATATTTAACAAAATAATTAAATAATTATAAATTTTAAAATATTCATTAACATAAAATTGACACGAGGTAAAAGATTGAAATTTACAATTTATTGATAGGTGTATTTTCAAATTCTTAAAATAATATTAAAATCAAGACTATTTTTTTATTACAATTTATTAATATTTTATTTATTTATATATTATAAAATTATTTATAAAATTAGAAAAGATGTGGAGACTAAATATACTAAATTATTTATATTTTTTTATATATCTCCTTGTCTAATTAGAAAGACTAAATTGTTTATTTTCATTATATATTTCTTAATCTAATTAAATTTCATTTTATTAAAAAAAACTCATAATAAATAAGTAATTTGAGCTTGAAAAAAACTCTTCTAAACAGCTTATATTAATTTTAAAATAAAAATAAATAATAAATAGGTAATTTGTGTTATTTCAGAAGGAAACATAATTTGTGTTATTTTAGAAGGAAACATACATACGGGACATATACATTTATTATTAAAAAATAATATACTGAAACACATTAATGTACTGAAACTACTTTTAATAATAGTATAGATATAGATATATCATATATATAGAGGATGTGTTGTATATGTTTGTTTTGCTGTAATTTTTAATGGGCTTCGAGCTTGGCTCGAATAGCTCCTGAATGACTTTGAGGCGAGCTTGAACATTATATTGTGAGCTCGGCGCCTCGGCTTAAGGCCAGCTCAAACACAAATTTCTAATAGTTAAGCCTAAACAACTATTCAACTCGGCTTGTTCAGATGATGTATCATTGTCTTTTTTATTTTTTTTTTATTTTTTTTTTATTTTAAAGGGTAAAGTGAGAAAAACAACAATGTTTACATTTTGAACAAATAACACCCATATCCTTTATGTTGTGTATATTTATTAATTCGGAAAAAATGAGCAAATAAAGGCGTTAAGTTTGAAAAATGAGCAAAGGAAGATTTGAAGTTTAAAATATAAAATTTTAAAAATACTTTTATCTCTTCTAATAATGCCCTTATATATTATATTAGGGAATTTTTAGAAGAATAATTTAGTTATTTCATATTTAATTAATTTTTTTTGACCTTTTTAATTCAAATTATTCAAGTCCTTGTTCAAGGAGTATACCCTATATGCGTGCCTGATGTTTTTCGCCTGCCGATCTTTTTAAAATCAGTTTCGTATCCTTGGGACCTCTTCACTCTTCTTCGACTGAGTTATCGAGAAACCCAACAACTGCTTTTTACGGTAATTCGTTGTAATTGTTACCCAGCAACAACTTTTTACTGCTTAAATTGCCAAAATAAAAAAAGAAAAAAGAAAAAAAGAATGGGTCGCAAGGGTAGTAGTTCAGCATAAGTAATAATTGGGAGGGCTCTCTAGTTAAAGTCAAAATCTAGGGAGCGAGGAGAGAGAGACGGAGAGAGAATCCAAACCCTAGCGAGCGAACGAACGAAATCCATTGGAGCAGGTTGATTGACTTTTCTTCTTCCCATGTGATTGAACTTTTGTATCATATATGCATATGTATATGTGCGTATATGCATCATAATCTACGTTCGACTTCTTAGCTTATCGATTTGCCTTTTGATTTCCATAAAGGTTTGATTCTTGATTTCTGATCCTTTGTTTTATGTCATTACCCGATCTTATTCCATAAAAAGTTAGCAAACTCATAAAATTAGGGTAGAGAATTGGAATTCTATGCCTTTTGTTTTGATTACAGATATGCTAGTTTTTGTTTGGGCTGCAATTTTGGGTATAGACTATTGAGAAGGTTGTGTTTGTTCAGATGGGTTCATTGCAAGAGAGTTTGAACAGATTCAAGAAGCAACAAGAGAAGTGTCAGTCAACCCTAACCAGCATTGCACCCAGAGCAGGGACTTCTTCAAAGCAAGCAGTACCAAATTACAAGTCCACACCGGCCAAATCTCCTGCCCCTGCAGCTGTCAAATTCTCAAACGATACAGAGAGGCTTCAACACATTAACAGCATACGCAAAGCCCCGGTCGGAGCTCAGATCAAGCGTGTTATAGACTTGCTCCTAGAGGTATCTATTTCACTTCTCAATGTAGTGATGAGAAGGAAAATTTCATACAATGAAGTCAATTTTGGTTGGATATGCCTATTTTGAGTGGACATATGTATTATTGCCTCTGTCTCTCTTCTTCCCTTGTTAGATTTTAGAGGTGAATGTGCATCCAATATATGCCAATGGAATTATTGTAGTCCCAGTTGTGATGTTCTGATATTTGTTGTGCAACTTATTTCTCTGTGTCTGCAGACAAGGCAAGCTTTCACACCAGAGCAAATAAATGAAACATGCTATGTTGATGTGAAATCCAATAAGGGTGTCTTTGACAGTTTGAGGAATAACCCCAAAGTGTATTATGACGGAAAGCGCTTCTCTTACAAGGTAATCTTTTATCTTGCTCTTGTGGAATCAATCAGACGCAGACATCTAGTTTTTTAGCGGTGTGAAAATTTATGTATAATAACATAAGGCCTTTACATTTTTTCTTTTTTTTTTTTCCCTGTGACTTTCTTCTTGTTGGGGTAGTTACTTGTTTTTTAATTTGTTACAGTCCAAGCATGATTTGAAGGACAAGAATCAACTGCTTGTCTTAGTACGGAAGTTTCCAGAAGGCATTGCTGTCATTGATCTCAAGGATGCATACCCAACTGTCATGGAGGACTTACAGGTATATTCAATTTGATATATTAGTTTTTTTCTGCAAGAAATGAATTTGGAGAAAGTTTTAAAAAAATTTAACTTTGCAAATAAATATGCCATTGACCTTTACTATGTAACTTTGTTCATTGGGTTACATTGCAAGAAACATGATTAACAATTGGGGTTTGATAAGCATGTCTGGTTTTAGTTTTCTAGTTTTCAACAGTCCAAACCTCAGTAATGAATGCATGTGGGGCAGTAGTGACTAAGGCTAAGAGAATTGTTTTCATTTGAATCTCTAATGTAGTTAGAGAATTTTTGACCCTTTTTGGATGGGGTTAATCCTAATTAATTATGATAAGGAAAAAGCAATGATCTGGTAGTCTGATAGATTGATGCTTTCTCTATCAAATCCTACCCCAACAGTCCAATTCGATTGGAGATTTTGGGAAATTGTTAGAAATGCAATAATCAGTATTGGACATAGGTAATTCCCATATGATCATTTAGCAACACAAATTATAGTAACCCAAGATTTTAGTGCAATGCCACCATGACTCCATTGTGCTTGCAACCTGATCATTCTCTCATTGTGCATATTACTACATGAAATTGTATAACAATATGAGAGAAATGACAATCAGAGAGAACCCTTGCTTTGATCTCTCATCATGCATATTAATAAATGAAATTGTATTACAATATGAGACACCCAGCCGGAATCCTTAAATTTTTAACAAGAATGGGTTGTAGGTAGAGGGTTGAGGTAGAATGAATGAAGGAATGAGAGGGAGGGAGAGGGAGAGGGAGAGGGAGAGGGAGAGAGGAATACTGAAATGACCATCAGAGAGAAACCCTTGTTTTGAACTACAGTGCACTCACACACACACAAATGGCTTGTACATTCTACTCTCTAGTTAATAATAGGTAAATTACCTTGACCTCCTCTGTGGTTTTGTGAAATCACTATCAGGTGAAGCTTTGCAATAAATTACATTGACACCCCTTCCAAGTCAGAAACCCTTTCCAAAACGTGGTATATCCATTTTGTGATTTTACCCTTACTAAATCATCATATTTTCTTTCTTGTACCCTTTTCTTTCCCATTCTAAATTTTTTCTCCACCACCGTTCCTCTCTCTAAATTTATACTTTTCTCCATCTTCCACCTCTCTCCCTCTCTCTCTCTCTCTCTCTCACACACACACACACACACACACACTCTCAATCTTAAACTGCTAACTCCATACCTCCACCACCACTGCCACCAGTCAGCAAATCCCTCTACGGATTCCTCTACCTAAATCCCTGTTTACCATATATATTATATATATATACATTTGTGTGTTTGTACGTGTGTATACGTGTGCATGTGTATTGATGTATATATTTGTCTATTAGTATGTGCATCTATGGTGTTATGTGTATATGAGAGGGTGTGTGTCCATTGGTGGTTTGTGTACGTGTGCGTACTAGAGTTTGTGTTTATATACAGAGAATGAGTAATTACATCAATTTTACCTTATGATCAATTTCAATTCTTGACCTGGTCAACTGTTGACATAAATTACGGGGCGGTGAAATATCGGCTATGGTGTATGTGTATAAAGTGTGGTGCAAGTTCCCTCAATTTCCCTCTCTCTAGGATGAATTTTTGGTACCCAGTTGGATTGATTGCTTAGAGAAACTGGGTCAGTCTTAGTAAAATTTTGCGTACCAAATTGTTTGACTATATTGGTAAGAATGTGGGAGAAATAGAGAGGATAGAGAGAGAGCCAAAGGTGCGAAAATATATAGTTGAGTAGGTGGGCTGGTGGGAGAAATAGAGGGGAGAGAGATCCAAAGTGGTGGAAAGAGAGCTGAGATGGTGGTAGTGGCTATGGAAGGAGGCAGCAGCGTGTAATTAGTGGTGGTTCTTTTATACATATATATATATTTGTGTAATATACATATATTATTGTTATATATATAAGTTAAATGTGTTTAAAAGGCATTTTTGGTATATAGAGAAAATTTGTTAAGCTGACTTAATGTTTGTTAACTGATTGGGGAATCTGTATTTTCACTTAAACTTTAGGGGAGATTGACCATTTTCTACCAATTTTCGTTTGTTGGAAATTTCTCAAAACTACAGGGGAGGTCTGGAAATTACCCTATGATTAAATATTTAATCATAGGATTTATTAGGTAATAAAAAATTTCAGCTATGATGATCAAAGCTTTTTTAGCTTTATAAATATGAAAAAATTATCGGAGGAATAAAAAAGAATCACATTGCAATTTTATCTGTTAAATGTAAAATAACAACTTAACATTAGGGAGAAGATATATAGATTACAAATTAATACGGAAGTGAATCACGATACTCAATCATGAACCAATCTATAAGAATCCTTTTTCTTTTTATGTTAAAAAATAATATAATAATAAAAGGCGTATGCAAGTAAAAGACTACTAAACAAAAATAAAGCAGCAGTACCACCCTCTTGATCTTGATAGAACAAGAAATTGGTTATTGCTCCTTTACTTTCAAGAACTCTCGAGGAAAGAGTATTCCTTATTTCTATTTTCAAATAATTCCACATTTTTGTAATAATATGTATCATATGTGAAATAAATCTATTCAAAGGTAAAGGGAAAAAATATGTATATTATTATATAAATTTATTAACTTAAATGTTATCTACCAAAACCCTAATAATAAAAAAAAAAGAAAGAAAAAATAAAAATAAACGAAAAGAAGAAAAAAGAGGTTTAGTGAAGAAGGAATTTGGGGAGAAAATCTGTATTTCAGTTTTCGATAATATCAATGTATCATCAAACTGTAAAAGCCAAATATTATGGTTTGATAATTGATTGATATTATTGAGTATTAGAATTTGGATTTTCTGCCCCACATTTTTTTTTGCTAATCTTCTCCTCTTTCTTCTTTCTTCTCTTAGGGTTTTTCATCAAGTGGTATCAGAACACTGCATGTTCTACATTAGGTTACATGTATGTCCTGCATCAGTACGTGCTTACATTATTATTATGTATTTATATTCTAATACTTAGTAACACAATAGGTTTTTTTGTTTCATCAGCCTACTAATATGATACGTAAGCAAAGTATAATTATATACATAGCTTTCGAAATTTCTACACAAATTATGATCCAGTTGAGGTTGTTTCTCTAACATGTACTCAAACCCATTGTTGAAAACTACCAATTGGAATATGGAAGTGATGCTTGCATCCTCTGTATTACTGCGGCCGCTGGCACAGAGTTAGCCGTAATGGGGAAGAGGACCGAAACATAGGCCAACTACTATCATTAAACCGACTTATTAGGAGATTAATAGATCACTTTTAAATGACATACCTTCTTAGGGATGGCTACTTCAAGATGCTGAACAACAAAGTTTGATTTTGGAAAAATACCATCATTATGAGAATGTACATGCAGTGGAATAATTGCATCAGTCCATAAGTTATGGTATCCTATTTAACTTTTGAATGACTGACCCTTCTAATCCAGTCCACATAATGTTTAATCTGGGAGTGAGAAAATGCATCTTATATATATATGTGTGTGTGTGTGTGTGTGTGTATATATATATATATATTTGTATTAAGTATTAAATAAAGTTATTAGTTATTCATTATAGATCCATGTTGGTTATTCTAAATTTTTTATTTGTAAGTGTTACTGAGTTATTAATATTAATTTTTTGAGGGGTTAAGTTGGTTAACTTTACTTGAAATGGAAAACCAAAAGTCTTAGTTTTTATATCTAATGTTGCCACAGTTAAATTACTAAAGATCTACTGTGGATGTCAGATATACATATAATATGATATGTAGTATTATATAAAGCATAATTGGGTTGGATCATAGTTAATCCGAAACCTGAATTTAGTTAATGAATTGACCAATTCGGGATTACAATCGTATTATTGGAAAGTTCCTTTTTGCCAAATCCGAAAAAGAGGATTGGATGCGGAACAAAGTTAGCCATATTTAAAGACCTACCCGCTTTCTTATACATATTGTTTTGAAAAATATGAAATAGTAGTATGTATACTTCTCTTTTATTCTATGTTATCTTTTATGCATCTCTTTTATTTATTTTCCTAGTTGGTACTCTCATCTGGATGCTATGTTTAGGTCAGACAGCATATCCGTGGTTGTACGTGAGAGTACGTTTTTTCTGAAGTGTTATTTTCTTGGGATACATAATGTATTTCATGTGGTGACAATCAAATCAATCACGTTTCCAACTTGCGTTATTTGTTTGAACACAAATATAGACGAAAAAGTTGAAAGTCATCATAGAATGAGCATCTCAAATTATTATTTATATATCTCCAGAATTTTGTGTTAATGTGTATCTATATATTTTTGTAGGCTCTTAAAGCTGCCGGTCAAGTCTGGCTGCTGTCTAATTTTGACTCGCAGGAAGACATAGCCTATCCAAATGACCCCAGAATACCCATCAAGGTTGATGATGACCTAAAACAGCTCTTCCGGGGAATTGAACTACCACGTGATATGATTGACATTGAGAAGGATCTACAAAAGAATGGGATGAAGCCTGCCACGAACACTGCCAAGAGGAGGGCCATGGCTCAGGTTCATGGTATTGGCTCCAAGGCCAAACCCAAGAAGAAGAAGCATGAAATCAGCAAGAGGACCAAGTTGACCAATGCCCACCTTCCAGAGCTCTTCCGGAACCTTAATGTTCCTGGTTCCTGATGGGGGATTTAGCTGTGACACAGTGCTCTCGCTTTATGTTGCTCGAATGTTGCTGCAATTTCCCTTTAAATATATATATTCTCGTGATCTGGCAACGATTATTGCCCTCGTAGTTCTTCATTCCTTAAAGCCTACAGCTGATCAGAGGAACTTCACCTTATTATGGGTAATGAGAAAGAGCCCCAACTACTCCCCTATGAAGATATACAGTGGGATCATATTGACCCGTCCATTTTACTTTGGTGGAGTTATGCTACTGTGTGTCACCATCCAATGTGTTTTTGGTTGTGTAGTATAAATAGCTTATTCGCAAACAATGTGTTATTCATGGGATGGTATACTATGTGATGTGTGTAACATATACATGATCAAATATTTCAAATAATTATAGATTGGGATGCTTAAATTGGACAATCTCTAATCTTCCTTTTTTTTTGGTCCCCCCGGCAAGTCACATACTCATTTTGGAGTTTTCAATAATGATAACCATCTGGTCTTGTGCTCTTTATACGTGCTTCTCTTCCAACATTACCTGATTTGATTGCTGTGTTTTTTGTTTTTTGGGTGAAGTAATTTGATTGCTCTGTTGTGTTGTGAATCACAACACAATATTAGAGACTGATTAAATGCTGTAGATATTGTATTCTTTGGCATAGAATCTACTGTCAAAATTTTCTTCTAATTTTATGTGAGTGGAGACTAATATCATGATGGTGTTACGAACATTAATGGTATCATGATATCATGATGATGTCAACCTCCATTGTTCAACTTTTAGGCTCCAAATCTATTCACTTTTCTATGAATATGTATGAGAGATAGATCTTGGAACCCTTTGTTTGACCATTTGGATTAAAAAAAATCCTTGGTACTGTCTGTAATGAATGTGACAAACCAAAATTATGCCCCACTATGTTGTCTGGTAGTAAAATAATATGACTTGAAAAGGCCTGCAATATAAAAGGATAGATGTTATCATGTTGGTTGGTTGTTCATTTGTTTGCCTGACTTCTCTGTCATCCATAACAGTACTTTCAATGTTTGCACACCTTTACTCATGACTTCATTGGTTGTTATTCTAATTCAATTCATTGTTTTCCGCACCATTTTCTGACCTTTTGTCTTCAACTCTTTGCTGCCCATAATTTATTTATTTATTTTTTTCACGCCTATAATTTATTTACCATTAAGTAATTCAATTATTTAGATTTGGTGTAATGCGTAGTTACTCATCTAGTATCGGACTTCGGATCATATGAGGCTCTGCCAAAAATAGGAAAACTCTGGCAATATAGATCACTAATCTTCTTGTATTTCCCCAATTATAGACATTCACAAACACACACATGAATATACCTTTTTCATTATTCAATCAAGTACAACTATGAGTTTTGGATATGTACAATCTGATAATCTATTTCAATTGTATTTATCATACATCTTTGATCAGCAGAGAAACAAAGGAAAGAAAAAGACCACACACTATATACTGCAAAATTTTGCATAACTAAAACATACCATAAAAGTTAAGACACTAACTAATTGTGAAGAGGGTTTGGTCCTCCTGGAACTGTTCGGTATGACACTCCGAATATCGGTTCCATCTCATCATTTCTGGATTTCTCTGGAGCTGCTGCTGCTGAGAAATGCCTAGAAAACCTGGAATTGGACTCAACTTTCAACCTCTTCTCTGTTCCTTCACTGATAATTCTCTGCATATGATGGCAACTGGAGAGCTGGCTGACCGTGAGCATCGCGACGATGATCAGAAATGGGACCCCGTTATATTGAATTCCCATGAAACTAATAGCTCTCTATGTGGTGTGTGTGTGTGTGTGTAACAGAAACAGATGAAGCAGGTGAAGTTGAGTTTGTTCAGTAATGCAGATGTGAAGTCTTTTAATACTGGGGTCAGCCAACTTGTGTTTTCAAGATAAGAGCCAAATTTTTCTTGACTTGTTCTGCTACAATGGCGAAAATGCCCACGTCTTTTTTGTATTATTGCAATCATGTTATTGACTGCCTAGATTCTCCAAACTTCTCTGAGAGGACTCTTTAGTACTTTCCAAGCTTAGTTTTTATTTTTTTTATTTTTCCCTTAAAACAAAAAAAAAAAAACCCTTTTTATATGTATCTGATTCAACTGTTCTAATGGGTTTGATAATCTACTTCTATGCATATACCATAGTTTTTGATGAATATTGGTAAGTCTTGACAACAATTATGTATAAGAAGAGGCTTTTAAGGGCTAAGATGGTCAAATACATATGTAATGGAGTGCCAATTTGAAAAACCGTTTGCTCAAGACTAGTGAGCATTGACTTGCACCAATTATACATCTTTACCTTGCCTATACCTTTTGAACTTTGAACTTTGGATAAATTGACATGGTTTAATAATTATTGTAAGAAACCAACACCTGTCACTAGAGGAGGGCCAACAGGTATCTCACACCATAAAATTGTGCTTCACACAAGTGAAATAAAGCGATAACGCACGACACGTTACGAGAGAAGATCAGTTCTCTCTCTGTCTAATACAAGTGAAATAGAGCTCACCTTAAATGGTCAATTCATTTTTTAGTCAAGATTTCATTATTGGGCTGATGACTTGTCGGGAGCTAATTGGCTAGTGAACAATCTCGAGCAATATATATTAGGGTAAGTTGCTTACAATTTTGGCACCATTTTGCTGCCACACCAGCTGAATAGTTTCACGACTCTTAACAGAGTCGTCAAAGTTTTTGATATAAGCAATGTCTAATTCAGGGAAACGACAATGAGGTGGTTTTGAAGACTATTTTAGTTGGAGATGGCGTGTTTGGGCAATGGGAAAAACCAATTGAAAACATTGTCATTTTCTAGGATTTCTTCATAACCAAGTCGATATGCACCCACCCACTTAATTGTGGTCTTGTCAATGTTTTCAGACAAATATGGACTTGAGTGAACTAAACGATTGTCTTTTGTGACTAAATAAAGAAGCTGAAGTAAGCTTTTAGTAGGCAATTAAACTATATTGGTTTATGTTCAGTTTGGTAAGGAATGAAAAAGTTGGCTGAAGGAATGGCATGAATACAATTTTGGCAATAAGAGTTAATGTCATGTTTGGTACGGTGGAAAAGAAAAATAGGAGGAAAAAGAAAAGAAAGAAAAGTTGATGTTACTATCTTATTGAATTTCTTCTTTTCCTCAATTTTCTTTCTTTTCTTTCCCATATTTTACGCCAAACACAAAATCCCATCTCCCTCTGTTAACTTTTATTTCTTTTCCTTCGATTTCTTTCCAACCAAACTAGCCTTTGTTTTATTTTATTTTTTTTCATTACCAAACATAGAATTAAATAATCACTCCGTCTCAATTTAAGTGTAGCTTATTGGGAGTAGTAATTTTTAAGGGAACATATGGAACATGCATTGTCTGTCTAAAAAGTTACTAACTTGCTATTTTAAGTTTTGAATTTTTTAGTTTGAAATTTTAAACTCAAATGACATATATGGAAAGATGTGAAATATATTGTCTGAAAAAAAAAAAGAAAAAAAAGTGGACTATTATTTTAGAACAGATAAAAAAGAAAAGTATGACACTTATTTGGGGACGGAGGGAGTTATTTTCTTGGGTCTCTTGGCAAAATCAGCAACAGATAGTTAATCAAGTTGGTATAAAAGATTTGAACAATGATGCTAAAATTAAATTGTCAAAAATGTTGAAATTTAGATGAACTAAATGGTAAATAGTTGATAATTTAGATGTGCCTTGCACCAACAGGCACTGTAAAATTATGGAAGTCAACCTAGTAAAACTTCAATAAGTGACTTTGAGTGGAATAACTACTAAAGATGATTATTTATTTATTAATTATTATTTTTAACTTTTACACTATGTTTGTTTCAACATAAGATGTTTCTTTACTCAACCTTAACGTAAGACATTGAAAATGTCTTGAGCTTAATTATAAGACAACGTAAACTATTTATACTCGATCTTACCGTAAGACATTGAAAAATGTCTTGAACTTATTATAACAAGTCAGTGCTGTCATTTTGTTTGCTTTGGGCCCTTCACAAACAACTTGTCACCCGCTCCCAATTTTGTCTGTGAAATTCAAAATTTTGTGCCTCTTTTTCTTTCTTATACAATCCTTGTGTCTTTTGGAAAATTAAAAATTCAATTCTCATCGAATCCGTCGTTTCAAACACATAAGTTTTTTTAAAAATTTTATAAATACGATGTTATTTTATTGACATGACATGATATTACTAATTAATTAATTTTTAGGGTAAAGTGCATTAAAAACCCTCCTGAATTATTGGAGTATGTGCAAGAAACTCCCCTGAATTATAAAAGTTGCAAAAAAACCCCTAAACTATTGGAGTATGTGCAAGAAATCCCCCTGAACTATAAAAGTTGCAAAAAATCCCCTGAACTATTGGGGTATGTGCAAGAAACCCCATTGAATTATAAAAGTTGCAAAAAACCCCCCTAAACTATTGGGGTATGTGCAAGAAACCCCCCTGAATTATATATATTTTTTTTACAATTTACCCCATCTGCACGAATTAATTGACTGAAAGGGACAATGAAGCCGAGGAATTTGTTGCTGGGATCGGTGGGTCTCCTGTCATAGCTCCATCATAGCCGTTGCACCACCTGCTAGATCCATCGGCCATATATATCGCACTTCTCTGCACCGTTGCGTCAGCCCATCGGCGTCACCGCCTTGCCCGCCGTTCAGTTCACCTTGCTCGCCGGTCCATTCCACCGTCCATTCCAAGCTCGCCGGCCCATTCCGCCATCTCTATAACCGAGCACACCGCCGTCCGTATTTCCAGCACACAGCCGTCCATAGTTCATGGCCAAGCCCCCTTGAGCTCGCTGCCCCCTCCACAGTTTACGGCCGAGTCAACCGAGCTCTCATCATAGCTGAGTCCTCCGCTCACAAGCCGCCATCATCCGAGACCGAGCCATCCCGCCGACCTCGGATTTCTTTGGTCTCTTCTCTCTCTCTCTCTAGCTCTCTGTTTTGGGTTGTGTTGGGTGAAAAGTATCTTTTGGCAGAAAAAAAAAATTGTAAAAAGTATATAAGTTAAAACGACGCAGTGTGTTATAAGGGTAAACTGGTCTTTCAAAATTTTCGGTGCCGGAAGCTAATGTCATGGGGTAAATTGCAACAAAATCATAGTTCAGGGGGTTTTTTTTGTAGTTCAAGGGGGTTTCTTGCAAATGACCAATAGTTCAAGGGGGTAAATTGCAACAAAATCATAGTTCAGAGGGGGTTTTTTGTAGTTCAGGGAGGTTTCTTGCAAATGACCAATAGTTCAAGGGGATAAATTGCAACAAAATCATAGTTCGGGGGGGGGGGGGGGTGTTTTGTAGTTCAGGGGGGTTTCTTGCAAACGACTAATAGTTCAAGGAGGTTTAATGCACTTTACCCTAATTTTTATTTATAGTATAAAATAAAATTCATGTAACCAACTAACTTGTATTATGTGTAGTGTCACTCCTTCACATAACCAACTACTTGTTATATTATTTGGATTAAATGTCATGCAACCAACTATTTGTATTATAAATATGACACACAAGCCTACAAAACTCACCGAGTTGACTCGATCATGAGTTTTGTGAGCTTTGTATCATATATTCATAAGTTGATACTTATATGATGTGATTAATTGGTAATTTTTTCCTTCAAGAAGTTATAAATTAGATTTATTTTTATTTTTATTTTTATTGAAGAAGATACAAATTAGATTACATCACATAATGTAAGTTGGCAACAATATAATGTGGGTGCCCAATCCCAGATTAGGAAGTGCCGACCAAACTCACCTCATTATAATTTATTAATTTATTATTATTATTATTAATATTATTTATGAAACAGAAGAATCTGTAAAGATTAATTTAAAATATGTTGAATAAATAAAATAAGAATAGGGAATCAAAAAAGGGCATCAAATGTAGAAGAAAAGGCGAAAGAACAGACAGCTATAGAATATATGAACAATGGCGGCCTTGATGGTGCTTAGGTTGAAAGCAGATTCTCACAAAGTGAACATTCTTTCAACATCAACTTGCAACAAGTCACTAACATTGATCAACTACTCTAGTTCTTCATCAGAAATGGAAGAGACCACCAACAGTACTTCAACAGCGAAAAGGTATCACAACACTCATTTTTTCACAATATGTAAATACAAATTATTCACAACAGCATTTATATGTATAATCTTCAGCTGATCACTGTTAATCTAGGTATGCTGTGGTTACAGGAGCCAACAAAGGAATTGGACTCGAGATATGCCGACAGCTAGCATCTAATGGAATTGCAGTAATATTAACAGCCAGAGATGAGAAGAAGGGTGTTGAAGCTATAGACAATCTCAAAGTTTCTGGCCTCTCAGATATGTTTTTTCATCAACTTGACGTAAAAGATCCTGCCAGTATTGCTTCATTCACGAAATATGTACAAACACATTTCAAAAAACATGATATCCTGGGGAGAATTTAGAAACAAATATGAATTGATAAGTGGCTTGGCTATTGCTATTATAACAAGAAAAAAATTTATACCAACATACATACACAATGGCTTAGCATGATGCATTCAATTTGATAACATACAAAGAAATGAAAAGGAGTTGAATAACACTACTTTCTGATGTGTTAAGGAATATCAGGTTACCAGATTAATTGCTTATAGGTGTTCTGTGGAATAAACTTTATTTACAGGTCAATAATGCAGGAATTCTTGGACTTACTACGGATCATGAAGCATATAGAGACTACAGACAAGGAGGGGGGATCGTAAGTATTACAAATAGCTTCCCTGTCAGAGTTCTTATCGAATAATTACTATGTTTTTCATGGGTATAGAATATATGTTTAACACTGAGGTGGTTGTTACGAAGCAGAAAATCCAGGAAATTGTTTCTAAGTATACTCCCACAGCATTAGTCTTTACATTGCAGAACAATATGATCAATATCTGGATATCTGGTTGGGTAAAAAATCATGAAAAAATATAACCAAGAAAGTTGCAGAAAAATACAGATGCCAAATTTTCAGTAGCAGCAAATGCCCACCTTGTTCTGTCTTTTAAAATGCCAAACTTTAATTCTGCTGCTCTGGTGCTTGGAGGGAAAGCGTTAAACATTTTGACATTAATTTATAGTGTGACTGCTCTCAAGATCGAACCATTGTCCTCATGCTTATTGAATTTAGCAGTGTAACAATGATTATCTAACAAAGGAAAAAAGGAGCCTTCAAGTGCACTGACTGCAATTAGGGAAACATATATATTTGTTCCCGATATTAAAGCAATTCATTTTAGAGCTAGTTCTTTTTTTAAAAAAAAAAAAAAAATTAATAATTAAGCTTATTGCAATCCTGAGTTCATAAAAAAAAATCAGAATTTCTGAAAGTAACCCACAATTTGGCTAGCAGGGCTGAGACTTTATGATGTATGCAGGTGAGCGATGAGGATGCTCACTTGTTGGACAAACTCATGAAGCAAACTTATGAGATGACACAAGAGTGTCTCAAGACAAATTATTATGGAACCAAAGGAGTAACTGAAGCACTTCTTCCTCTCCTGCAACTCTCCAATTCAGCAAGAATAGTGAACGTTTCCTCTGTTAATGGACAACTAAGTGTAAGCAGACACACCAGTTTCATGCATGATTAGCATGTCTGGTGAAGGAAGAGAAAAAATGCAATAAGCTCTAACTATTTCCTCTCTCTTTTTATTTTTATTTATTTTTGTTTTGTTTTGTTTCAGTTTATCAACAACGAGAAGGTCAAAGAAGAGTTGCAGAATGTCGACAGCTTAACAGAAGAGAAAATAGACAAGATTTTGCTGTGGTTTCTAATGGATTTTAAGGAGTATAAGTTGCAGGCTAATGGGTGGCCCCTTATAGTGTCTGCTTATAAAGTTTCCAAAGCTGCCATAAATGCCTATACTAAACTTGTAGCAAGGAAATTCCCTGATTTTCGTGTAAATTGTGTTCATCCTGGATATGTCAAAACAGATATGAATGATAACACAGGAAACTTGACTCCAGAGGAAGGTGCTAGAGCACCTGTAATGCTGGCTTTGTTGCCTGATAATGGTCCTTCTGGCTCCTACTATGATGAGATGCATGCATCCATCTTCTGATCTAAAAATAATCTGCATATATGTGAATGATAATGGCTAGTTATACTTGTGGTATTTGAAGGGTTTGGTATAACATAAACAAATTTATTTTAATTGTTAAGTTCTATTAGTTTTTATATTTTTCTCTACCATGTGTTATTAAAACATTAATGGCAATTCGTGTTTGCGGATCGTAATTGTGTCGTTTCAACTTAAGTTATTATACTAAACATCTTAATCCAAACATCACCTGTTTAATAATCGTGTCAGGAACTCTCAACACTAACCCGAATTCAATCTGTTTATTAAATGGTTTACATGTGTAACTCGTTTTGTCACGATCCGAATTTTCTAATATACAATCCTCGATTTATTCAACTCAAATACATCACAATACACCAAGATCAAAAAAAAAAAAAAAATGCCTACTTTATACAAAGTCAATTTCCTCAAAAATATACAAAAATTCTCCAAATAAATAAATTAAATCCTGCAACACCAACTCTTCAATCCTAAGCCCAAATCTAGCAATCCCCGTTCACCTTCGGTACTATTGTAATATTTTCATTTTTATGTGGGTCTCATATAGTTGGTATATATTTATTTGTGTGGTGTAAAGAAAATGAAAAGAGATAAAAAAAAATAAAAGAAAATGGTGGGACCCACATGCCTTTTAAAAATAAGGCCAAGAGGCCATTTTGATCACACAATCTCTTTCTCTTTTCTCTCTCCCGCAACCCTTTTCCTCTCTTTTCCTCTCTTTCTTTTTCTAGATTTTTCTTTTTTCTTTTTGTCTCAAACTTTCAAATTTGATTTCTCTTTTAATACTTGGAATTTTTGAGTGCCGTTTGCGGCAAATTGAAGCTCACGACAAAATCTACAAGTTGATCGGAGCAATTTCTAGTTCGGTGCACTCCTTGATTTTTGAAATTTAGGGCATCAATTTGGGGGTTTTGCATAATCTTGAAGTAGGGGTTCTTAATTCCCAATTTCTTGTTCCCTTGTGAATTTCCTTTAATTATTTGTTATCAAGCATGCTTTATTTGAATTGATTGTTTTAAAAAATGATATAGTTGTTGTATTTGAAGCCTATGCTTATATGTGTTGATAAAATTATGTGAAAACATGCTTAGATGTTAATTTTCATGCCTACGTTGTTTATTAATTCTCTAGAAATTGCTATGAAGGAGCATGTTAAATTGTGTAGTGTGAATTTTTCTTATTCTCATATTATTGAAAAAAAAATATATACAAAAATAAAAATATGTGACATGCATTCATAGCATTAGGCATGAATGAAAAGGGCAAAGTGTTTTGAAATGAAAGTGAAAGGGGATTTTTAGGAAATTTTTTGATTAAAGTGGTTTTGTGAAAACCCGGCCGCCTAAGAGTTGCCTAGGGACCGTGGGGTTAATGTGACCTAAAGGGAATTAGGGAGACTGTCCTAGCATGGTTGAGTTAATTGGGCCCCAAATGACGTCCTTGAGTTGCCTTGTGGTCAGGGACAGTTAGCCAATCCTTCTTTCATGCCGCCATGAAGCTGTCAAGGGACGGGTTGCATTAACGGTTCAGAAATGATGGCAGAAATAGTTTTGTAAAATGGGGAGTGACATTGCCATCCATTACACATCATAATTTAATTATGACTTGGATTGTCAAATTTGTTACTCTGTTTACCCCGGTGTGGTATGATCCCGCTTCTTTATTTTTCTATTCATTGTGTGGATTTACGTGGTCACAAGAGGTGTGTCTTAAGCACCACCTACTGAGCAATTTGTTCACTCCTTATATTTAAGATTTTTTAGGACATGGAAGGAAAATGGCGGACGACGCTCCTCCACAGGGTTCAATGGGTTAGTAGACCGTTTTGACATACTTTGTAACTATACTATACGTGTCATTCCAGGGTTTATACTCGGTTAGCGATTTCGGACCCTTGGGTTCGGGTCGTTACAAAATTGGTATCAGAGCTTGTACCCAACCGGAAGTGTGAGTATAGTGATGATGTAAACGGGTGTGAGTGGGCGAGTGTGTAGCACTGGTGAGCTACCACTTGTAACTGGGTGTGTGTGGGTGGATGGCGTTCACCGACAGCTACTGGGATGGTTGGTTAGTGTGTTGGACAGGTAGCCCAGATTTGTTATTGTTTATTTTTTTTAGTGGGCAGGTGACACATCGACTAGCTACCACAACGGTTATGAAGTGTGTGGGTGGGTGACTAGCACTAACAGCTACCATAACGTCCTACATATCACTGTATCTCACATCGCCTAGGGTAGGGATTTTGGTTTTGTGGTTATTGGTGTTTTTGGGTATACGAAGACTGTTAGATCTAAATTTTCGGGGCTGACACGTTTAATGACCTATTTAGAATATATATATATTATTTAAATTATTAATAATACTCAATAAAATAATAAATACTAAAAAAAAATATAAATTTTAATCAACCAAATTACTAAATAATTTTTAGTTTACAAAAGATTAAATTATAAGACATTAGTTTATATAGTAATTTTAGAACTTAAATAGAAAATTATTTACGACATATATAGTTAAACGTGTAAAAATGAGTTACACGGGTTGAACCGTCAACCCAAACACGACATGACAAATTAAACGGGTTAATCGTGTCGAGCCGATTATGACTCGAACCCATTTAAGGTCAACCCAAACCCGTTTAACTGGTGTCGTGTTCGAGTCATATTGACGGGTAGTGTCAACCTTTGTCACCCCTAAAAAACATGAAAGAATCTACATGATTAGTGTCTAGAATTTCAGATAGAAAAAACTTGACACAAATGTCAATTATTCAGATAGAGAGCCTCCGGGGACAATGCCAGCACTTGAAATAACAGAAACCAAACATGGTTATCAACTATGGCTGTGTTTCATATAACAAGAGGGAAAAGGAAAAAAATATAAAATTAGTTATGAGGAAAAAATAGTAATAATAATAAGAAGAAGAGAAAGATAGTGCTAACCTCCTGTCAAGTTTGGTTAACTAACTAGGGAAAAGAAAGAAAGTGATAGTCCTTATTGTAATACTGATTAAGAATAGATTTTATCGTAGTAGCTCCTAAGAAGATGCTTCACAAAAAAGATGGCATTATCGGCAAAAAGAAAATGGGTAATTGGGTTAACAAGAGGGGCCATAGGAATACCATTGAGGTCTTTGGACATTGTTGCTTGGGCAAAGGAGGAAAAGGCATTCTTACAGAAGAGAAATAAGTAAGGAGATAGAGGGTTGCCGTAAACAGAAACCGCGGGAATGATGAATAAGCGTTCCAACTTCGCAGTTAATATTAACTGAATCCGATATTGTAGAGGCACACTGCATTAGAAATTTAATACAGCGAGTGTTGAAGCCGAGAGCATTTTTTTCAATGAAATCCTATTGGACCTGATCAAATGGCCTTGCCGAGTTGGATGGATATGAAGCATTTTTTTCCCATTCTTCTTAGTTTTCATGTGATGCATCGCCTCATGGACGATCATGATGTTCTTGTGGATCAATCGGCCAGGGACAGAAACTCTGAAACGGACTGATAAAATTATTAAGAACAGGTTTCAAACGGTTCACAAGAGCTTTTGAGTAGATATTGTACAGCACATTACAAAGGGCTAGAGGCCTGAATTGAGTAACCGAGATGGGATTTCTGGTTTTGGGAATGAGAAATATTGGTGTGATTTAGACTTTTGAGAAGATTGCTTGTGGAGAGGAAGTGATTGAAACCGCATACAATATCTTCTTGAATGTTGTTCCAATATGTTTGATAGATAAGTGGCGTAAAGCCATTCGGGCCTGGAGCTTTGAAGGAGCTCATGTTCTTAATCACAATTCTCAATTCTTCTGTTCTTCGGGCGAAGAAGAGATCTGTTCATTTCACAAGTGGTGACAGGAGAAATAAGATGCCAAAATGAGCTGTCAATGCTACATATATTCGAGGTATAAAGTGGAGAAGAACTGCTCCACAACCAACCTGATTTCTTGGTTTTGCACCAACCCCCTATTCGATTGACGAATGGAGGCTTTTCTATGGAGAAAGCTGTATTTTTTTTTCTCTGTTCTGAAGCCAGGAGATTTGAGATTTCTGTTTCCAGAATATCTCCTCATTTCTCCAAGTGTGACTTTACTCTTTTTTGAGGTTTGGAAGCATTGATCTGTTGAGAGGAGTGGTTTCCTTGATGACTGCAATCTGATCTTGAAGGAATTTGATATGGGTGCTGGACTTGTAATTTCGAGCCTTACTCCACTTCCACAAGTCAGTCTTGCAAGTTTTGATTTTACTTGATAAAGGGCAGAACCTGCAGAGGAGAATTGCGGCAATTGCCATGATTGCCTGATAATATTCATTGCTTGCTTACTCTCAGTTAACAAGGCATCCATCTCTAGGTTTCTTTAGCATCTATCAGTAAATAGTCCACAGAGCTTATGGTCAAAATGGGTGCATACATACCTTATCAGAAACAGAAGCATAATGGTATGAAAAGATACCACAAAACTGCACATGGAATTGGAGGAAATTGCTACAATAGAGGCATATCATTGCAAAGCTAATCAAACACATGGTGGGTAATGGAAAGAACACTCACTTTTGGTATGATAACCGGACCAATTGGGTCATCTGCATCACAGGTTCAGCTTTGCTGCAATTGAATTGTCTGAAATTGACAGATTTGCTAAAGTTGAGCATTTCATTTCTGGTAAGTCTTGGTCCTTTCCCCATTCATCCTCAACCTTATACCATCTCTAGCAAACAGCCCATTACCCAATTCTTCAATCGATGACACCATTATTTGGATTCCATCTGTTGGGAAACGTGCTAGTTTTAAAAACCTTTCAAGGGATTTTAATTCATAGATCTTGATTCATTACATAAAGACAAGTTTTATGCAAAAATAAAACATGATGTATCATTCAATTAAAAGATTGAATACTTACATCAAGGTTTGAGTAAACCTTAGATCTCTTCTCTAAAGTGAATGTTTTCACTTATTGTAGATCCCTTTTTGCTAGACACCTTTTCCATGGATCTTCATCTTCTTGGTAATGGTCTTGCCTTTAGGAATCA